GGTTGAAGTGGATTTAATATTACCATTAACATTAAGGATAGTTTATGGACATACTGAACATGCATTCTGTGCAGATTTAAATTACCTTAGGATTGAAACTGGAATTGTAGCCACACCTATGAAATGCTTTCAAATTTTTCTCCATTGCGTGGTTTAACTTCACTCTCCTCACTTTGGGGGGGGGGGAGTCATTTTCTTTTCTCTTCATTTGGATCTAGCTCGTGTAGCCGGTGAGACAGGTCAAGTTCAAAACAGATCTTAGACCATCGTTTACTTTGAGCAAGAAGCAAGCCTTTCCTTTTGCTGCACTAATTCCCCAGGCAAAAGGGATGCCTTTCATAAGAGGTATCCCTAGCCGATGCCCAAAGGCAGGGCACTCAAGCGCTTTGCTTTTGCTCGGGGAACGGTTTCGCGAGCGGACATCTTACTGGAAAATGGTATTATTGGTAACAAAGTTAATTGCTTTCACTTTTTCATTTATGGATTGATCTTCTTGACACAGCCGACCTTATCAAAATTGTACTTATAACTCTAATTGACACTTCTAAATTTTAAAATCCTTGTTATTGTGTATGGTTTTATATTAATTAGAATCATGAAATACAGTAACTACAAGACGAAGAGAAATATGTCTAATGGCAAGACTCTCACGTCACATTTTTTAATATTACCATTAACAATAAGGACAGTTTATGGACATTATGTTAGTTGAAGTGGATTTAATATTACCATTAACATTAAGGATAGTTTATGGACATACTGAACATGCATTCTGTGCAGATTTAAATCACCTTAGAATTGAAACTGGAATTGTAGGCACACATATGAAATGCTTTCCATTTTTCTCCATTGCACGGTTTAACTTCACTCTCTTCACTTTGAGGGGGAGAGTCATTTTCTTTTCTCTTCATTTGGATCTAGCTCGTGTAGTTGGCGAGACAAGTCAAGTCAGTGACGGACTCATGAAATTTTGTCAGGGGGGCGTCCTTTTAATAACAATTTTTTATTTTTTATTTTTTATTTTGATAATTAAGCAACAAAATAAACACATTCAGAAATTGCATATTATAACACATTGTGCGCTTGTGTTGTTGTGCATTGTAATAAAAAATAAATATTAAATATTAAATATTCAGAAATTGCACATGCATTGCTATTAGAAAAAATAAATCAAAAGGCGTACATGTACAAAAGAACTTAATCTTGCAAGTTGCAACACTGAACACTCCTAGACTCCCGGTATCGGTTGCATTTTTCAAGTGATTAAATGAGCATAGAGTTAAGCATCCCACCAACCAAAGTGTCCAATTCTTTAGATCAATTTGAATCAAAGAGATTTGAAAAGAAAATAAACCGACCTTATCAAATCCCTAATCCAAAAAAAAAATTAAATAAATATAAAATAAAAATAAAAATAAAATAATAATATCTAAGAGAAAAAAGAAACCACATAGAACACAACAGATCTTCGATTCTTCATCATATATATTTCTTTGTTGTTGTATTAGTAATTAAAACATAGAGGGGAGCATGGTATATATTTTGGAAACTTATTTAGTGGGGACTGGGGGGTATTTATGAAATTTTAGGGGGGGCATGGCATATATTTTTAAAAAAGTCTAATATATAATAATAATAAAAATAAAAATAAAAATAAAAATTCAGCCTGGGTCAAGTTCAGAACAAATCTTAGACCATCGTTTACTTTGAGCAAGAAGCAAGCCTTTCCTTTTACTGTACTAATTCCCTAGGTGAAGGGGATGCCTTTCATAAGAGGTATCCCTAGCCGATGCCCAACGGCAGGGCACTCGAGCGCTTTGCTTTTGTTGGGGCAACGGTTTCGCAAACGGACATCTTACTGGAAAATGGTATTATTGGTAACAAAGTTCATTGCTTTCACTTTTTCACTTATGGATTGATCTTTTTGACACAGCCGACCTTATTAAAATTGTACTTGTAACTCTAATTGACACTTCTAAATTTTAAAATCTTTGTGTTGGCACCCATTTTGGTAATTTGGGTCTGGGCTCTAATTGGGCTTGATAAACAGTGACATAGTATCATAGGCCAATAGTATATGGGCCTAATGAATGATGATGTTTTAGACACTTGGGTTGCACAAACATTGGGTTGAGAATGCAGTGATTAGTTCGGGCTTGGAAACATAGATTTAAAGCACTGGATTTAGGTCGAAATTGTGATAGCGTTGATACAGTGGAAGTGGGTTACAGATGATAAACAGTGACATGGCAAGCTACACACAAGGGCATCATTGATCAAATAGGAGTATTTTTGAAATATTTTCGAAATACTTTATGTTAAATAAGGTTTATATGTTTACTAGATTTTAGTTAGGAATTAATATTTATCCAGCAACCTTAATTTGAATTTAAATTTGGTAATGAGATAGAGTTTTATTGTAATTAGAGTACTTATTGGTAGGAATTTGTTTCTAATATTTTCTGTAAATAAACAAAAGGGCATGCTGAGGAAGAGGTCTAGCACCCGCAGAATCTTTATTATTATTTGTTTGCTTCTATCTCTCTCGTTCTATCTATTTCTTTCTTTCCTTCTATCTCTCTCTTTTTCTCTCTTTTTTTGCTATATCTATTTTCCCCCCCTTTTCTATTCTCTTAATACGTTACTATAAATTATTCACTGGAAAGTCCTTTTAACTAAGGCATTATTGAACTCAAAAGAGGAATTTTATTATTCCATTTTTCCTCGCATCATCTGAAAGTCAACCTTCTCAAAAGGACTAACGTTAACTGTTTACAATCAAACCACACAAGTGGTTCTGGCACGCCCGTTTTATATCAAATTAAGATCGGTTCTAACCGGCCGATTTTAGGGTCAACACTTTGTTATTGTGTATCGTCTTATATTAATTAGAATCATGAAATATAATGTAATATTTCTATTTTTCATCATTTTCTATTTTTTCAGAATTTTTGTTGTTTCAAGGGTATTTTCATCTTTTATCGTTTTGCGTATCGGGCACTGCGGAGTGTGCCGGTTGTATTCGAGAGTTGTTTGGAGTATTTCATTGAGTTCAGGACTCTTTGACATGCAAGGGTAACCATTTTTGGCATTTTTCTATTTTTCGGGCTGGACGGTTCCATGTGGGACCCGCTACCGGGACTGTTGCATACGGGAATTTTAATCCATTTACATCATAATCATTTTATTTAATGTGTTATATATGGTTGTAATTTAATAGGTGTATGTATATATATGTGTGTGGGGTATAAAATGGAAGCAAAAGAAAAAGAGAAAAGAAAAGAAAAATGGTGGGACCTACCTTACCATTCTTTTTAATTGTCTTTAGGCCATTTTAACATTTTTCAGGATACGGATGGCAAGTGACGGACGACGCTCCTCCACAGAGTTCGATGGGTTAGTAGACCGTTTTGACATACTTTGTAACTATAATCTCATTTTATTATTATTATTTATTTATTTATTATTACTTATTTTTTTTATAAACCCGGAATGACACGTATAATATGTATTGATGTAGGAAAGAATTGTGTTGTCCCTAATTGATTTCGAATTCGGTTAAGGACCCGGCTAACGGTTCGGACCTACAAGTTCGGGTCATTACATATAGTAACTACAAGACAAAGAGAATCATGTCTAATGACAAAGCCCTCATCTCACATTTTTTAAGGTTGATAGTTCGAATTGTCTAAGATCACTCTAAGATAAAAAAAAATAATAATAAAAAAATAAGACTTTATAATTGTCGAATGCATGTGAGAATGGGACTTGACCCAACAAACTTTTCAAGAGCAATAAGATATAGACGTCTAAGATGATTATAATAGGAAGAAAGTTTGAGCTCAGGGGTGGTAAGATTTATATGTTTTTTGAGTGACATATTATTAGATATGTATATGAGATCTCCATGACATTGAATTTGTGAGTTTTGTAATAAATATGCAGAATTAGAGGGAAACATTTTGCTTGGAAATGAAATTCCAAAGGAATGGGCAGGGTGGAAAGTTAGAAAGAGTTTGGAAGGCAGCCAGGTGGATATAGAGAGTAAAGGTTCCTTAACCCACTTCTCTAACTGCTACTTCAGGTCTGAGGTCCAGATTGACGTGCTTTGATCATTCAATAAAGTTGAAGTATCCAACTGTCATTCTTTATAAAGACATGGGTTCACTTTGGTATTTTACGCCACGGGTTCACTTTGGTATCTTACGCCACGAATAATGCCACACCTCTACGCCTCCAAGGCGCGTGCGCACACAACATACACGTATACTCTTCAAAACTCTTTATATCTTCTATTTTTAATGTAAATATCTAGATAATTCAGTGAGTTTGTACTTTGTGTCTTAAGTGAATTTTGAATTGTTAATTAATTCTCTATATTTACTAATCTAATTTTTTTGAATTTTTTTAAAATTTTTAATGAAATAATTTAAATATAATATGTTATTTTTTTATTATTATTATTATTTTTATCAAACAAGCTTTTAAAGTTAAATTATATGATTACATAATTTTATTTTTAAGTGTAAAAATTTGCAAAAAATAACTAACAAACTTTGAAAACTAAATTAATATTTTATATACTAATAAATTATATGTAAATAAGTTTATATACTAAATTAATATTTTATACACTAATAAAACTAAATTAATTAACAAACTTTACATATAATTTTTTTTACTCAAGGGCATTCTTGTAATTTCAGAGTAATTTTGTCAAAAATTTCATCTTTGAGTAATATAGTTAAATCTTAGAAGAGATCAAAGTAATTTACCTTAAATTTTATCATATAATTATTAATTTAAGGTCGGAATTGGATGGACTAAAGTTCATTTTTTTTATGCATAATTGTGAAAAAGAATCTGATCTTAAATAAACTAAATATTATTTTCAAAAAAAAAAAATTCAAAGTACTTTTTGAGTCATTTGTGAAATTTGAGATATAATCGAGTAGTTTTAAATTCTAAAAAGAATGCTACAAGCCTACAACACTTTTATACCGTACACATATCATTTTTTTTCTTGTAATGAGTGGATAAACATTTTGTTTTTATCAAACCCGAATCTCAGTTCCACGCGCCATCGAAAGCTCGTGTCGACTATCTCAAATCTTACCCATCTACTACTAGTAATATATGCTGTTCACCGAAACATAAACCAAGCAGCGAACACATAGGAAAATAGAAGAAGGAAAAAGCGGAAAGGAGAGAGAAAGAAAGCTACAGGCGTCCATGGCAGAAGAAAAAGAAGCACAAATTAGAGGCAACTTCTATGAGACACCACCATCATCATCATCTTCCATGTTACTGATAAGGCTGATGAGCAAAAGGAGGACATGGGTATGTCTATTTGTTGTTGTGTACACAATCCTCTTATCATCCACTTGGAACCTCCTCAAATCCATACTCTCTTGGTACGAATCAGCCTCTTCAGTCCCATCATCGTCTTCTTCTGGGTGGCCGGCGCTGTACGCCTCCGTGCTGCTGGGGGCAGTTTTCGGCCTCCTCTCGATTGGCGCCGCCTTGGCCGTGGTGGTTCCGGCGACCCTGGTGACGTGGATCACGGTGCTGGTGCTGCTGACTTTCTGCGGGAAGCCAAGGAGCGCTGTGGTGGTGGAAGCCAAGAAATTGACGGCTGAGATGAGTGGTTTTGTGGTTAAGATCTTGATCAAGGAAGGAAATGTTGTGGCGGCGCTCTGTGCAGTTTTGGGGTATTTTGCACTTGTTAGAAACCACAAAGAAGAAGTAGCCTAATTAATTGGTTGATGGATGGCTTTTCTTTGTGGACTGTTTATTAATTTGTTGTGAAATTTTAGGTGGGAAGTGTTTGGTTGATCATTAATTGTTGTTTGAAGAAGGTTTTTTGTTTTTTATTTTTTATTTTTTTATTTTTATGGGGGTGGTTTTGGGTAAGAAGATATCTCAAGTTTTGGGACCTGGTTCGAGGGCTTCGATCTGGAATTAGTATATTAGAGAATTCCTAAGCTCTTTTTAATGTAACAGTAGTAATAGATATGTTCATATATATATATATATATATATGATCTCTTACTTCCTGATTTATTCTTCCTTAACAGAATTGGATTATTTTTATGTTTTAAAAACTAGTTTATCCAATTTGGCATTTGCTCTTTCTTTTGCGATTGTTCAAGACACGATGGTCTAACCAATTTTTTAGTCAAAACAACAGTGTGTGTGTTCACATGGTAAAACATTAACGGCTTAGAATAACAAAATAGTTGTCTTACCTAATTATCCAAATAAGATAATAAATTGACATTTTATCTTTCTTTTCTCAAAATAATTGCCTTTTTTTTTTTAAATTCAATTTTTTAAGAGAATAATTTAAATTTTTTATTGTATTATTAGTGAATAAATTATTAAATTTACTTGAGTTGACACAATGATATATTAGTTTACATTTTATACTTTCAAGACAAGAAGATACTTATTTTGAGACGAATAATAATAAAAAGGTGGACACTTATTTTAAAACGAAAACAATATATATATATATATATATATATATATATATATATATATATATATAATTTAATTTATTGTACTAGATATATATATACACAGTGCTGAGATATTTTTCCATTTATAATTCATTTAAGTCATGATCATGTTGCTGATTTTCCAAGGGATGCTCTCTTTTGTCTTCTAATTTATGGAACAAGGGTGGAGCCCCGGTTTCAACATATCTTGGATGGTCTCTTTGTCCAATTTAGAACATCCCCCGGCCTGGTGGCTTCCCAGCGTCTATTAGGACCAGCACAGAGGATATTTGTGGTCTGGGCCTTTTGCTTCTCATACCCTGATGGCTTCCCAGGCTTCCTTAGGCCCAGTTCACAAGATATTTGTAGCCCAACTTTTTCCATCTGGGAGTGACAAATGTATTTAGGCGCACGCCGCGTCACCCAAATTCTCAACGGACCACTTACTTATTAGTCCAAGACTCTCTGTTCAAATTTTATGTGTGACAAGAACCTATACTAGGCTCTCGTAATCACAACAATGAAGAGAATTAAATATACGTAATCGATAAAATGCTGTGACGTTTTCTTGGTGAAATAATAATAATAATTTTTCATATGAGAAAAAAAAACATTTTCTATTTCTACCTAAATATCCTAATCTTTCTCTAATTTTTCATATGAAAAAAGAAAAGTGTAAATCATATATACTTATCCATTTTATTCCATAATTTGACAATAATGATTTTGAAATAGCCCTAATACTATTTGACCATTTCATATTGCTATATTAAAAAGCAATTAGAGCTCTTTTATAATGACTATACCAATATCTTTGAAGTATTCCAGCGCCAACAGTGGTACAATCTTAAATTATAAATTACCAACCAAAAAAAAATTTGACTCGTTTTTTTTTTTATTTTTATTTTTATTATTTTGGTGGGCGGAAATCGTGATTCTCTTCCCTTAATTCTCATATTTAATGCAGAAAATACTCACCTTTGCTGATTGAGGATAAACAAGCGATTTTTTTTTTTTTTTTTTTTTTTTTTGTTTCCGGTGAATATAGATTTGGAAATTTCCGTTCCCAGGCCATTCCATGCATGTTTTTGTTCTAATTAAATAGATAAACTAACTCAATTAAATCGTATTAAGAAAAGGGCGAGTCCAATCAATTGTATCACTAGCTCGATCTACTTGATGAAATAGAGATAAAATAAATGGACTGAAAAATCAGCATTAATTCTAGGCTCCAGCATATATATGTATAATGTGTTATATACATATATAAATGGCGGTGGATTATTGATATTGATGGCTTTGAAATTGAAAGAATAACGCAAGTCTAAATTTAATGTCACAAAACTGCTTGTAAAGGCATATCTTGCAATTGTCTAAGTAACTCAGTGCATTAGTATCTCTAGTGAATTTTAGTGTGTCAGGCTTCGACAATTACACTTCTTGCCTTACAAAAAAAAAATAAAAAACAAAAACAAAGTAAAGGCATATCTCATTAGGCTTCCGGGTTACTTCATCTCTTTAGTTATAATACGGGGTAAAGTGCAAATAACACTCATGTTATATATAAATCGTGCAATAAACCCGCCATTAGAAAGAAAAAAAAAAATACATATAACTCCATGTATTATTCATTTTTGAACAAATTATCCCCCGATCATCAATTTTGACCAAAATTTTTTTATACGACGATGAAGGGTCCATGTTGTTGAGCACAGAAGCTCTAGATGTGGATTGTTGGCACCTCCATGGAGTACGATTCAACAAAGATAGTAGGCTTGGGATTGCCTTAGATACCAACCACGTCCCACTCTTATTGGGCTTATTGTCATCATCAAGGTTATTCATTAACGTAAACACCGACGAGGCGCGAAGCTTCATCAACGTGCTAGGCAAACACAACCGACCAAACAGTATTGGCATGCATCGCTATAGATACCAACCACGCCGTACTCATCTAGTGTGTTTTAGAGATCGCAAAAACAGAGTGTTGACGGCGGTGCCACAACACCTGCTCACGTGGCACTATTTTTGAAAAACGTTACACCTAGTTAGTGCTAATTAGACCACACTAGTATCTGTCTGGCGTTCCTCTGAAAGGATCAAGTGATCTCGAGCTACTTGTCCTATGACTGAATTCACTGAACGAGGAAGGGGTCACCACCCTTCACTCTCCTGTGGAGGTACCCCACTCCAGTTGGATGGGTCCCACCTCTTTTACCTCATTCGAGGCTCCCTCCTACAGACTGAGCTTCGGACAAGGTAGGCTCTCTCACCCCAAGCCCCCCAGGTTGAAGAAGCTTTGGGGTGCAGAGTTGGGACAAAGCCTCGTGGGACCAAGAAGGCGGAACACCGAGGAGGCTTTCTTCCTCATCTCCAGTCTTGGGAATCTGAGGAAATGTGAACAGGAGGCTGGGATCTAAGGAGTTGCCTCGCTTCGAGGCCAACATAAGGGGGAGAGGATGTTTAATACCCGAGGTCAAGTTCCAGGTAAGGGGCAAGCGGTGCATTAAATGCATGATCCATTTGATAAGACCCACATTTAATGTGGAACGTCATTACCTCCACCAATCGAGGGGCAAAGCGCCTCGGGTCACCTACCAATGTCCCATCTGTCAAGAGGTAAGGTCATCGACCCAATAGGCAAAAGAGGAGCTATCCTTGTGACCAGAGGGCATTGACCAGAGGAACATGTAGTATAGATAAGAGCATTAATTAGTCATTAAGGTGATACCAAAAATACAACAACCAACACTACTATCATCGAGCTCAAGTTACTTGGGTATTAACAACCGCCTTCCCTCTCTTAATCGTAAGCATAAGAGAATCCCTTATGTTGCTTAAATCCCCCCTTGGATACTAATCTCAACATTCTCGGCCTACGTGGAATAATCTCATCATCTCACAAAGAACAATCATCAACACAGAGCTTCATATCAAAAACCAGTGAGCTTCAAAACAGACTAAGCGAAAACCTAACTTTAACTCATGTTCCGATATGGTTCAGTCCGATTTGCACCTGTTTCGGTGAACCTCAGTTTCAACGTGCTCCAGTTTCACTGGTAAACTACGTGGTCGCTCGTTGTCGTTTCTCGTCGATAAAAAATAACTCTGAGACCATTGTTCCGTTCCGTCATCCTTGCTCGCCGGTTCCTTCCCACCGACCATCCTTGCTTTCTCGTCAGTAAGTTTCAGTCTGTCGTCTTCCCTTTTTTCCTTTCCTAGACCACCGTTCCATTTTTTTTTTTCCTTCCTCTTCTGTCGCTAGTTCATCCCCGCCGCTTCAGCTTTAGCATCCGTTTTAGAATGTCATCGTCGAGCTCTTTGGTTAACCCGAGCACTTCCTTGCTGGCTTGCTGCTCACCGTCATTATCGCCGAAGCAGACCCTATGTATTAAAGAGAGAAAGCGAGTGGAGAGACAATCTGAGGAGAGAGAAAGGAGAAAAAATTATAGGGGTATTTTAGACATTTCAATTGAAATATCTTTGTTTGCACAAATTGAAATAATAGGAGTGTTTCTTGCACCTTTTGTATGTAATGGGAGTGTTTCTTGCCCTTAACCCTTGTAATAATATCAAAGGTGTATGTGTTACATTAATTAATTCCATCTTAATGAACCTACGCCTCAAACTTCATATACTTTTATAAAAGACATTGTAACGCCTCAAACTTCATATACTTTTATAAAAGACATTGTAACATAGGGATGAAATGATTATAGGACAAGTAGGAGGAGCATGTAAAACATATGTATGTGTATATATATACACACATGCCCTTTACAACTTCATTATCTTCATAACTGTTAAATGGAATGTAGTAACTAAAAAAAATGGTTAGCCTATCTCAACTCTGACAATGCGCACTCTTGAGTCTTAATTAGGGCTCCACATATATAAATAGCTAGGTTTTGGATCTCATGGCACTAACTCATAATTAAATTAAAGAAGATGTGAGACAATTAAGATGATGAGCTTTCCAGAAATTGATATACATGATGAGATCTGAACAATTGAATTGATCTTTTTGATATTGAGGACTCACCAACCCATGGAGTAAAAGTTTGCATTTAGACTTACTAATGGAATTGGTGGCAACCTAGGATATATAAAAATGATGATATATGTAAATTCGGAAACAAAGTAAGAAATTAAAATTGAAATTGAAAGGAGGTTGCACATCGCATTCTAGCTAGGCCATAAGTCCTACAACAGTTGAGGAAAGAAGACTATTAATTAAGCCGTTGTAAAACTAATATCATTGTTTGGCACAAAGTCCTTGATCGAGATGATATTGGTAATGAGAATTTGATGATTAAAATCATGAAATGAAGAATCATCCTAATTAGTTTTGTAACACCATCATAATTCTACAATTACCCACCTGAGAGAGAAAAATTCTCTGAAACAGTTACTGTTAACAATAATATTTATCAAGGATCAATTTTCATACATCAATTTTCAAGCCATAAGAAACTTACCTTACAACGACATAAGTCATTATCGATATGAATTTCTGATTTATCCATTTTAACCACCGGTCAAATAGACTCAAGGCTGATAACCACATAAAACATTTATTTGACGAGCGATTGATTGAGAGGAAAGTTTGCAAAAAAAAAAATAATAATAATAATAATAAAGATTGAGAGGAAAGCAAAAAGAAGTTTAATGTATTTGACATCCATGAGAAAGAGCAAATATACAGATCACTTCAACATGATATATATTATATATATATGATTAACATAATATATTTAATCTATGTAACAAGAAGATAATTCGCATCATAGTCTGTGAACATGCACCAACCTCAAAGTACATGCAAGTGATTACATTCTAATTAGCTCGTGATTGTCTTAATTAGTTTATATGCATGTATTAATATCATCTTTTATCAGTGGACCTTTTTTTTTTTTTTTTTTTTTTTTTTTTTTTTTTTCAAAGGCAATCTTTGGTTTTAACTGCACACACATGTCTGATTTATTTATTTATTTATATTTATTGTTTACACCATACATGTATGATCCATTAAGTCAAGTTTCTCTTATTTAATATTCAAGAGAGATTTTTTTTTTTTTTCTTAGTACTCACACACAACTTTATTGAGGCTGCAACCCTAACTTCCCTTTTTAAAATAGAGGTCTGATAACCTATTGATCTTCAAAAGATAAATTTTAAAACCACTAACACTCCTTTTATCTTCAAGAGAAAAATCTTAGGACAACAAACACTCCTTTATCTTCAATGGTTCTGCTTCAAAAAAATGGTTATAAAGAAACATGTTCTCTCTTAGCATATTTTAAGGAGGCATAAGAAAAATACAAGGATTTTTTAACATTCGTGTGTTTGATATATATATATATATAAAGAAATAAGTAAAGAAGATCATCAATCTGTTTTTAGATGGACCGCAGTTCATATGACCATTTTTTTAATACAGTAGTTACAAGCAGCACGTGCAGAGAGACGCTCTCTCCTAGGAAAAACATAATCGTTGTACATGGAATGTATTAGTTAATGCTAAATGGTGAATAAAAAAAGAAAAGGAAAATGATAAACTATGGCATGCCGAAATAGAAGGTTCACGGAATAAAATCTGTGTCTATTATAATCAAATTAGAATCCACTAAATTTAGGTACCCAAAAGTCTCCAGTATTATAACTATTTGATAGCGACTCTAAGTATCTAAAAAAAAACCTAACAAATTTAGCTAGTAGCAAAACAACTTTTAAAAATCATGATATACGACAATTAAGCCCCAAATGACGAAATTAGAGAGGAAGGTAAAAGATATTAACATAGACCAAGAACTGTCAAATGTGTCACGAGAGTATTTACATAGGACATAAAAAACCCAAAATGTTTTTTTTTTTTGGTAAGGTAAGTCGGAGGAAAAAACAGAAAAGAAAAAAAGAAGACACTAAAAAACAAAAAAGAAAGATTCCTCAAGGGAAGAAAAAGGAAACACGCCTAATTTAAAGGAGATAATATTGGGGCTACAAGAAAGAAAAAAAAGCAAGTGGAATATTTTTTTCTTTTTTCATTTTGTTATTTTGGAAATATCAATATCATTTCTCTTTGCAGTGATCTAAGTTTATATATTATATATATAGCTTCACAGTGACCAAAAAAACTAAAGAAAATGGTCTACAGTACCAAATTTGCTTTAACTTTGATCACTCAAAGCAGCTCTTATTTTGTCCCTTGATTTAACTAAAACTTCCTGCAAAAGATCTGCCAGAAGAAGCATAAAAATCTCATAAAGTACTAAAAATAATAAATAACTGAAGGTGGAAAGTCCTTGCAAAATAAATCACTGAAAATAAATACCAAAAAAGACAAATAACTGGAAGAAAGTAAAAGATATGGAAGATACAGATACATACATGTCATATATGGTCAAGGGTGTTGAAAAAACTTGTCCAGCTATAGATATTAAAGGGGTGGGTAAACATTACGAGAACTCAGATCTAAAAATTAGGGTGATACCAACAGTCCACCACACACCACCCCATCTTTACTCTTCTACTGCTACACTTCGACACCACTTTCCAGGTGTGGGTCTATTATGTTAGGTGTGTGTGCTTTCTCTCACATTTGTTCTCACCCTACCTCATTTTCACCATTAATCTCTTCTTTGCTTCAATTCCCTGTATAAAATCCCATTTTCATGACACATGCATTCTATCTCTCTTAAACATAAGTTACAGAGGTATCATGCAGTTTCGTATTCTTGGGTTTTTGGCGTCTTCCAAGTTAATTTAGGGTACCCTTCACAGAAACTGATCTGGGTGTTCTTCAGCATATTGTTTTTTTCATCTTGGTTGCTTCGATTTTGGGGTTTAAGAGATCTAAAGGTATATAAACCTCATTTGGGTATCTTTAATTTTGAGAATTTATAGCTCAAAGGGTGTTCGAAAAGCAATTCCTAATTTCGGGCAGAGTTTGCTTGTTCTTCATTTTATGGATAAATCATCAAAAAAGAGAATGTTTGGAGGAAATGGGCTGCTTTACCCAATCCTTGGCTTTGCATCATGTCTTGCTTTCATTTATTTGTCTTTTGGAGACCTGTGGTTCGATTACCATAAAGAACCAGAATTGGGTTTTGTGGAGAGGAATGGGACTCAATTCATGGTGGATGGAAGAGTATTCTACGTTAATGGGTGGAACTCTTACTGGTTGATGGACCAGGCTGTGGAGGAAAATAGTAGACCCAGGGTGAGAGAAATGCTCAAGACTGGTGCCAAGATGGGACTTACTGTTTGTCGAACTTGGGCCTTCAATGACGGTGACTATCATGCCCTTCAGTTATCCCCTGGTCGATTTGATGAGCAAGTTTTCAAGGTAATAATAACACTTAAGTCATTTTCTGTATACTTGTTCTATTCTGATTCTATGGTTTTATATGTGTTTCTGTTTAAACTTACTGCTTCAGTTAATCATTGACCATAGACTATGAAATCAATTTCTTCATTGATAGAATTGAGAATTACCTTAGGAATCTAATACATTGCTACTGAAGGTCTCTCAAAATTAACCCTATAAAAATTGATGTTTTGTTAATGCTCTATATATTTCATTTGCCAATCCTGACAACAGGGTGATTTAAAATTGGAAGCATTACTGATTCATTTTACTATATTATCTTCTTTTTGACATTGCTTTTTGTGAGGTCAATCTTGAGTTCTGTAAAATCCAATTTACTGAACTTGATTAACGTTGCCATAAATGACTGGTTGTATATAATTTACATGAAGTTCCTATGTGCGTGGAAGACTACAATTTCTTAAAGAGAAAAAAATTATGTTATTGAAGTTATTGTTGTTGTTGTTGTACTGATTCACAATGATAGCCCATATATTGTTGAAGCTGATCATATTTTACCAGATTACAGAACTCCCAAAAAGCTCAATTATTTATTCATTTTTTATTTTTAATTTGGTATATATCTGCCAGTAAAATCATTTGTTATGATTTTCATTATTTGGTACTTTTCCATTTCAATGACCGATAGTATGCAACAGGCCTTGGACCATGTCATTGCAGAGGCCAGACAAGAAGGAATTAGGCTCCTACTTAGCTTAGTTAATAATTTGCAAGCATATGGTGGGAAGACTCAGTATGTCAAGTGGGCATGGGAAGAAGGCATCGGCTTAAGCTCTTCTAATGATTCATTCTTTTTTGATCCGTCCATCCGCCATTATTTCAAGAATTATGTCAAGGTAATCTACTTGTCTTATTAGTTTTCCCTCTTCTAATGATTTGTTCTTTTTTGATATATCCATCCGCCATTAGTCAAGGATCGCGTCAATGTAATCTATTTGTCTTACTAAGTTTTCTTCATTTCCACAAAGCTCATGGGTTTTTCTTTCAAGGTTACTACAAGATAACCATGAAGTAAAATCAGGACTAAACTTAAGCTTATCTTATTGGAGAGCCTGAATATGTATATATATATATATATTTAATTTGCTTCTTTTCTAAATTTAAGAATATTCAAATTATTTTTCATGCATCATGAGGCTGATATTTACCAGTTATTATCATGTTTTTTTTTTTCATATCACAACTGTGCAGTTCGTTCTAAGTATATTGTGATGACAAACAACCCTCTACAGGCACAATTGTTAAGAAGATCATAGTCACATAGCACTAGAAACACAAGTTTATAGCATTGCATCATGATGATAATTGAAATAAGCAACAAATGAGATCGCCTGTTGAATTTCTTGAATGCCACATATTTAAGACAAATTTAAGAGAGAGAAACAGACTCATTTAAAGGCTACCAGAAACAAAAAAGACCTGTTGCAGTATAAACACAAATGGACTGAATAAGTTTTCATTGAATGTCCCAAGTCCCCAGTAGATGATCCTTGAATGTTTTGTTATAGAAAAAGAAGTTCCATTATAGAAAAGAATATCTATTAAGGGGATCATGATGAAGAAAATAATAAGCTTTTCATTTATCACCAATAAATCAGAGATATGGTGATTAACAAAAATAGATTTACCTCGAAAAAAGAATGCAAGTCCTGTTTTTGCAAAATTCTTGAATATGGAAATCCCAAATCATGATCACTAACCTTATAGATGTAGGCTTGTGAATTTACCACATCCCGCATAGATTGTTTGGCCTGCTGACAGATTAGAAGATTAAGGAAGATCCAAAGCTGAATAATTTGGCATTCAGGAATCAATCAGGAAAAATATTAAGAGTGCTTCATTCCTACGAATCGAGCTAAGATTCCAGAATTCATTGGAAAAGAAATCACACTGAACTGAGAATTTATTCCACAGTACATTTAACTGCTATATTAATCTTGTGTATCAATTACCAAGCCAATGAAGTTTTTAACGAAGCCTTTCCGCAACTGTTAGGGGTTCAGCAGAATAAATCATTGAGATTCTTTCCTTCCGTTGTTTGCTGAATTTATTAAAATTTTAAAGGCATTATGATGTTATATTGAGATATGAAATAATGATATTACTATAAAGCATTTCTCCAATTGTAACAAATTTTGTTTTTGCAGACCGTGCTGACTAGGAAGAACACTATCACTGGAATTGAATATAGAAATGATCCCACCATCTTTGCATGGGAGTTAATTAATGAACCCAGATGCATGAGCGATGCTTCAGGCAACACTCTCCAAGTAAGTTGTAAACTCCTTATACATATTATATGGAGAAAGAGTATAAACAATGGAACATGGTCTGAAACTTCAGTTTGGTTCCAGTTCTTTGTAAGAGTTTATGGGCATGTTTGGTTCAATTTTCTGAAAACAGTTCTCAGAAATCAGAAAACTGTATTCAAAGAACTATAAAAGACAATTATCTAAAAACAGACATTCTTTTAACTGAGTTTTCAGCAGAAAACTGCAACCAAACAAGCTTCTTTACCGTTTTCTGATTTTCAGTTCTCTGGAGATCGAAAACTGAACCAAACAGGCCCTCTGCTATTTCAAATCAAATATCCAACTGAGTTTTCAGCAAAAAACTGCAACCAAACAAGTTTCTTCACTGTTTTCTGATTTTTAGTTATCTGAAAACTGAACCAAACAGGCCCTATGTTATTTCTAATCTTCTTGAATTTTATTTTAAATATGCTTACTTAATTTTCATACTTCTGCCAAAATGTTATTAATCCTTATAAGTGAAATTATCTTTAGACAATTTGAAACTAAACCATCTCTGTTTTTTTAATTTTATTGATCAAGTATCACTATATCAGTAAGTGAAGTTATGACAGGATTAAAGTCAATTGGTGCTGCACTGAGACGGGTACCATTCTAGTGGTGTTGCTCAGTTCTAATAGGTTTCTATGGTAAATGTCCTTCCGTTGGCTATTCTATCTAAAAAATAATAATTATCATACCTTTGAAAATACCAACGGGCCCGTGGCCTAGCAGTATCAGCCGCTTACTTCCTAAAGGGAGGTCAAGGCTTCAAGTCTCAGAAGAGACAAGTGTGTGTGAGTACCAATTAGGAAAAAAAAATACCTTTGAAAATCATGGAACTTTGGTCAAAGTTATTGAATTGCTTCAACACAGCCCAACTTTTGACAGGGATCCCTCTCAAACTCACATTTCCTGACTTGAGATTCTTTTATATTTTAATGTGCTTTTTTCCCTTATGAACAAATAACCTTCTAAATACCTTTGTACAAACACTTCTACTAGCAATATATTAATGTGTGTGTTTTCCTTCTGAATCAGGTGCATTATGAAAAGAGTCATTTACACTTTTTACTAACACGCATTCATTCTCCTTTTCTAATCGTCCCTTATAGTTGATTATGAATTAATTGTTTGTCATAGAATTGCAGGAGTGGATAGAAGAAATGTCAACTTTCGTGAAATCAATTGACAAGAACCATCTACTGACTGTTGGCCTCGAAGGATTCTATGGTCCTGAAAGCCCCAAAAGGTTGACTATTAACCCAGGAGAGTGGGCAGCCACCCTTGGATCTGATTTCATTCGCAACTCAAATATCTCGACGGTTGATTTTGCTTCTGTTCACATCTACCCTGATCAATGGTAAGCTTTCACAAATTGAAACTATTTTTTTTTTTTCTAACTTTATAATGCCTAGGAAGGAAATTGATGGAATGAATATAAAGTCATTCAAGGAAACAAAGCAAATACTCCGAGGATGTTTGAGAAAACTTAACTAAACTACCAAAAAAATCATTAAATAGACCCTTGGCCAGAAATTTTAAGTTTTGTTTTTCATTTGGTAGTTGTTTATCTGTTCATGCAAATCCTCTAAAAAGTGTTACAAGCCTCCTTCAACTGCTAAGGATACATAATAAACAGATGTACATTGTTTTTTGAATGGGATAAAGGCAAGGATATTGATGAATGATGAGATCTGTCATATCTGCTTGATCGTCCAGTTAACCTAAAATGCATTCCGTTCTGTCTCTCTGGTAGGTTTCATGATCAAGAATTTAAAGAGACGCTAAAATATGTCATCAAATGGATGGTTTCTCACATTGAAGACGGTGACAAAGAACTGATGAAACCTGTCATGTTCACTGAATTTGGATATTCAAACCTGAACGACGATTTCGAGCCTTCTCAGCGAGACAGATTCTACAAAACTGTCTTCAAAGTCATGTACAGATCTGCAAGGAAAAATGGGTCTGGGGCAGGATGTTTTGTTTGGCAGTTTTTGGTGGGAGAAATGGAAGAGTATAACGATGATTATGGGATTGTCCCCTGGGAAAGGCCATCAACATATCAGTTGATAACAGAACATTCATGTAGGCTGGCGAGAGTTCAGGGAGTTCTGTTTTCGAAGAATGCTCACTTGAAAGACTTGTGTTCACAGAGACTCTGAATATCTACTCATTCATCAAAACTAAATTTCTTTATATGGGGAGATTTGGTGTATTTTGTGGTTTTTCCATTAAGGGGACAGAGGCGGATGATTAGTTCTTTGCCATGTTCATCATACAGCTATAAATACAACTATATGTAAACAAAAAGGCGAATATATTTCAGCCCAAATTACAGAAATTGTTGTGAAATCTAGTTTGTTGGAGATTTAAAATAAATGAATAAAGAGTAACCCCTATGAAGCGTGTATTAGAGCATACCCTAAGATCATATGTATCTGAAGAAAGATTCAAGCTTGAAAGAAACATAGAAAACCTCTATTCCCTCGTGCTCAACTTTTCTGGTTCCCAACAACTTATGGTGGCTTATAATTTCATTTAGACCATAAAGAGCGTCAAGCTCTGAATACAAATGCAAAATTAGACATGTTACAGTTTTATATGATCATGTATCTAAATTACAATAATTTAGTACTCTTCTGCATATGAAGTGTGAACCTGAATAAAGCTCAGAGACTATACAGCTTCATTGGTAAATTCTCATAGCACAACAAATCTGCAAATGAGTTGCTAAAAAAAGAAAGGGAAGCTAGCATATTTGTATCATAATTCATGCATATATTTAGTGTGAGTTCAAGTTATTTCATGGTCCACAATATTGCCAATATATAAAATTGGACATATTGAAAACCAAAACATTAAAGAACCATGTAATTCTGTTAATCTTTATGTACATGAAACATCATAAAACATCAATGCAACTTTGATTTATTGATTAATCAACACAGTGAGAGAGCGAAATCTCATCCATCCAATGAAACAAAGTGCATATGTATCTTTCATTTTCTGATTAAGAGAATAACGGGTATTCTGAAAAGACATATTAGAACCAAGGATTTTCCATTACTCTCAAGAACAATTAACAACATGATTAAAGTTGAAACCAAAATGTAAAACTTAACACACAGAAGACACTAACAAAGAAACCCTATATAGCTGTATTTAGGTTAGGGGAGTCAGAATTAGAGCACATATCAGACAGAGACAATTCGTCGAACACCTCTAAGACGACCCACGCCTTGCCAATCTCGGTGAAGTCCTAGTCCCACTGGGAGGAGTAGAAGTTCCATTTGCTCCAACTGTTTCAGCTTTTCCATTACGCTTCAGCTTCTTCCCTTTGGAATTCGATCCATTGACTTCCTCAACCACATCACCATCCTCTTTCTCAGACCTCCGACTTCTAGTCCGCTTCGCCACCGTGTCGGATCCATCACCCGAACTCTTCACGGGACTTCCTTTGCTCTTCCCCAAACCACTCTCCGACGCCACCCGATCAAAATCATCGCCAAGCTTCCTCGCCGACCTCCGCCTAACCCCAACCCCACCACCCAGTTCACCACCAATTTTCTCTTCATTTCCACTCTCCGATTCGCGATTACCCATATCGTTTTCGTCATCATCTTCATCGATCAAAGCCATGAATCGCCTCCGCTTGGCGGCAATCGGAGCAGGAGGAGGCGATGGGGTCACACTTTTGCTGGCTGAACCTTTGATTTGATCGGTGGTGGTGGTGGCTGTTTGCATTCTTTTCTTGTGGAACTTCTCGCGTTGGGCTCGGAGTCTTTTGATGTTGCCTTCAATGCGGCCTTGGAGGCGGTGGCGCTGGAAGCTCAGGCCGCCCATCGACCAGTGAGCTTCTTCAGCCCACGACAAAAACGGATCGAGAACGGGAACTGGTGGGTCGACTCGCTCGTCGTTGAGCTTCACATCGGTGTAGAATCGTGGCCTCGGTAAGCTGCTGCCATAGAATTTACCAGGACCGAGGGCTACAACCATGGCTGATTGTTGGAGGATTCAACAATCTCTCTCTCCCTATATATATATATTTAGATCTGAAAACACCTAAAGAGAATACACACTGGAGTGGGTTGTTACATTGGTTGTTATACGATTATATATATAGAGAGATGATTTGTGTAATGGTGCTTGACGTTTTGGGCGGGAATTTTGGCGCCTAAAATCTGGCGCGTAGTTTAATTCTTCCAAAATTTGCCATTAGAAAGGTGCCGAGAGAAAAAATAAAAAATAGAAAGGTACCACGTAAGCATAAAGATGCTTGGGTTATGAACAAATGAATAATATCTTTGCGGAGGAATCAGTGTGACTGTGTGTCATTAATATAATATAGGATTAAATGCAAAATGACTATTGCCAAATTACAACTAACCTTTCTGAATTATAAAAAAAATTTTTAAATTATGAATTTGTTGCAGTCTATTTCGGCAACTGAGTTAACCGAAAAATTAAAAAGTCTCATTTACCCTTTGACCAAAAGTTGACCGTTCTCTCTCTCTTTCCCCTCTCAAAACTCAAATTACAGATATCAAAGAGGAGAGCTTGATTTGGGGAAGCCAACAGTGACCATTGTTGGACATGGGGTTTGCCATCATACTACAAAATACTTAATGGGAATATATATAAACAATATATATGTATACATTTTAGGAAGGAGCCAACGAGAGGAGAGGCTAATTTGGGGGAAAACTTGGCTGGATTGAATCGGCGGCCGGCGAACAAGGGAGGGCTCGGCTGTGACGAGTTTGGCTGTGGAGAAATTGGCCGGTGGAGACGATGGCAGAGAGCTCAGATGGTGGAGCTTTGACCGGCGAGGTTGGTGGAGATGGACAACGGGCAAGAATCGGCCGGCTATGGGGAGCTTGGTTGTTGGCTCGGTCGTGGAGAGTTGGGGCGGTGAGTAGCGTGCTGTGATGGTGAACTCGTGGCGGCTAGCTCGGCTTTGATGGTGTCGGCTGTGATGGAGGTGGCGGCGAGCTCAGAACGGGGAGGGCGACGGATGAGGTGAAGCTCGACGGTGAGCTCGCGGTGGTGCTCAGAACACGGACAGCGGTGTGCTAGGCCGGTAGAGATGGCTGGTTCGGGACGGCTGATTCCAGTGATGGGTTGTTATGATGAAGCTCGGCCGTGATTGGGTTTGATGGCGACTGGTGGCGAAGCCTCTGCAAAAATAAGAACTGCTTCAGAGCATCTAAAGAAAGGAACTTGCCAAAATTGCCATCATTTTTCCAAACCCATGTCATCAATTTCACCAATTTCGTCAATTTCTATGCCTCATTTCGCCTTCCGCTGCTTCGCAGCACTACCACCACCGTAAGCGTGGTCCAAAATCATCGCCTGGTCCAACTCTAAGCAAGACCCAGATTGATTCTGCACTTGATTATCTTGCTGATTGGGTCTATCAGTCATGTGGGTCAGTCTCACTTTCAAGTCTCGACCACCCAAAGTTCAAAGCTTTCCTTAACCAGGTTGGTTTGCCGGCAATGTCGCGAAGAGAGCTCACCGGAGCTAGATTAGATGCCAAATTTGAGGAAGCCAAAGCAGAATCAGAAGCCAGAATTCGCCATGTTCTTTCAAATTGCCTCCAATGGTTGGAAATCAAAGAATTGTGGATATAACATTGTTTATATATATGTGCGTGTATGCATGAAGGGCATTATTGTCCAAAAAAATCAGTTTATCTGTCGCGTGAGTTTTACGCGCTCATTTTTGGACGGACGGCCGTCGGATGGAGTGATCTGTAACAAATTTGTATAGTTCAGAGGGTTTTCTGCAATTTTGATAATTTAGGAAGTTAGTTACAAGTTTTTTAATAGTCCAGGAGATTTTTTGTATTTAACCTTATATTATATTATATATACATCACACAAGGATCATTTCTTAGCTGGTCGATGTTCACCTCTTTGATTGGGAAATTTATTAAAAGGATTCAATTCACCCTCTGATTTAGGAATTTATGTGCGTGTATAATGTCTCTTTTTTTGGGTCTTACTTTTATTGTAACTTTTTTTTTGAGTCACGTTTCTTTTTCTTTTTTAATTTTTGAAAGCAAAATTATCATGTTTTATTATTTTATTATTATTCTATGTGTGTGGGTTAGGAAAGGAATTGATCTCTACATTTTTACAACTTTTTTTTTTTAAAGCAAAATAATCACGTATAATTTGATGATGTCGCGTTTAATATTCTCTATTTATTTTGAAAATAACTTCATTTGCTAATCTTATAAAATCTTACAATCCTCGTTTGGATCCCCTCCGATCTCGATCTTATGGGTCCTTTGTCGGTACAGTCTCATAACAAATAGGCTGGCCTTTTTGGGAACTTAACACGGCCCAACAGGGCAAGGTAGCCTGGTGTCTATTGGGACCAATGGGCTTTTAGGGCTTCCGTACTCATTTTGCTTTTCAAATAAGGCAATTCCTTCTCTCAATATGTCCAATGCTTTTATACCACCAATCCAAGTTAAATTCAAAAAATTAAACCAACTAGTATTGCTGCAAATTGGGCCCTCACTATTTTAATTATAAAACAAGAATTTATTATTATAAAAGATTGGGTTCTTTTTTTAAAATGATTCTGACACTTCGGCCCAAATAGCACGGTTCTGTTTGGAAAATGATTCTTGGACTGAAGTGTTCAAGCCTGCAATGCATCGGCTCAAGTGTTCGGTTGAACTAGTCGACCCAAAAGCACAGTTCAAAATCAAATACTATATGTTACCCCCAGCTTTTTAGAATGATCGGTACCAAATTCAGCCAAACAAACCGTGTTATCTAATAAATCCATTAATTTCAAACAACTTTGATCTAAGCTTCTGATCAGAAGTGGCATTGCAGCCAACTCGAAACCCAGACACTAATAATACCAATCATGGGGTGAAAAATCAGTGGGTGTAATTTGAAAGGTAACCCCCACTCTGATGTTTATCTCATCTGCAATCCACTACACGGGTCACAAGGCCATTGATAGGATCAGAGTGACCATCGTTTGAAATGAAGATTAAAATGTTTGGGAGCTGATGTATATATAAACATATATGTGGAGAGAAAATTAAACAAAAGCAAATAATAGCGTATGATTTTCTTGTTCCCTCAACATCAACTCACAAAATGTAGCGAATAAAACGAATAGCTGCATTTCGAACAAAAGAATAACAAAATTTCTAACAATCTCAATATACTACAAAAGACCTCGGCTTTACACAAATAAATCGATGTGAGGAGCTGTACCTTACAAACTAGATGTTCTCCGATCAATTACAACTCTAAGTATGGGAAATGATTAATTACAACAGTTAGGGGAAGATGAAGCCAGTGATGAAATATCAATCGGATCGTCTGCTCCTTTCCTACTGGAATTAAAAATGGACGGAAACAGCAGCATCCACTGTATATTATACACGCAACGTACTCAGAAATCTAGCCTCTCAACTGTATTGTTTTCACACCTCATAAGCCAACATCAAACCTGCAAAACATGATACAAATCCTCTTAGCATCAAGTGCAACACTTATACAAGGATGAAGATCAGTGGAGGGAAAGCAACTCAGTCATCAACCTATAATTTAAGGGTTTGTGTGGAAACAACTTCATAAGAAAATGATACTAAACGACCAGAGGAGCATACTAGGGATTGATGCAACATTCCATGCAGAACAGAATCCAACATGTCTTCAGCAAAGGATTTCATTTATAAGGCCTCTCTTTTGTTTTTATTTTCACTTTCTGTGTAGAGTAGGAAAAACAATTAAACATATAAAAGTAAACAACGCGCATGTGGATATACTACAGTCTGATATTTTATTTGAACAACTGATGTCAGTGTCTCAAAGAAGTGGTTATACATCGACACCAAAAGGCTATATACCACTCAATCTGCCAAATACCAAATAAAACAAAGCAGCTATGAGCCAGTTGTTTCTTTCTCCTCAAGCAGAACTTCATCTTGCCATGTAAGCAGTGACACAAAACAGCAAAGAAGAAAAAGACAACCCTACAGCTTTTCTTTAAAAAATTCTACTACCAAAAATTAAAAAATAATAAAATACAGATAAAAATTTGCTCCAGATATTCGTAGAGGCACAAACCATAATTTCTAGAGAGAAAGCAAACAACAAACATCTCGTGTTTCCAGAATTCCACTTCCATACAAGTCGTAAGAGAGAAAAAGGAAAACCCTGAGCAATTAATCCCATAAGGGACTCCAAACTTGTGCATCCACCCATCCACCACACTGAATAGAACCAAAGCATTCAAGGGGAGAACAAGGTTTGACTCAATTCGGATTTAAATAGGAACCAAAGCAGTTCCAACAGTCCTATGTGAAATTTAGAACCAAACTAAACCATAAGAATAGAAAGAACCAAACCAATCCAAACAGTCCAAAACCAGTTTGGTCTGATGCAATTCTAGGGATTGTCTAAGATAATGGGGTGAGCAGAAAGAGAAGCAGGTGCCATACAACTATGAAGATTGGTACACAATTTGAAGAAAATAAATCGAAACCCAAACTTCACCATAATAAAGCCATACACACAAGTAAAAGTTAATATAATCAATATTGTGATATTATAGAGATAATATAGCATGTTTTTATATAATATTGCTACTTACCAAAAAATACATATAATATTGCCTGTATATATACGTATACTAACAGAAATGGTAGAGCAGAGGAGGATAAATAAAAAATAAAAAAATTAGGAATGCAATGATCATGGCACGGGAAAAAAAAACCCCAAAACATACCATAAATGACAAAGATGCTGAGATGGAGATGGATACCGGAGGGAGAGTCTTTGTATGGGAGATGGAGATAGAGATCGGGAGCGCTAAGGGTGTTGATGCTAAAGAGAGGGAGATAAAGGTCAATCAACGTTCAAGTGTGCGTGCATTTATGAAGAGAATGAAGGATGGGAAGAAAAGGAGAGTAGGGTTATAATTAGTGGTTTGTGTATGTGTTACCCCGACACTCATATTCTCCTAATGTATTGGTGTCGATACTACACCGCTTGGGTATGGAAATAGGATATATGTACGCACACATACCCAAATCAGACACCTGGATCCTCTAATCTTGATGATGGAAGAAGAAATCTCAAATGAGATAGCAAAGAAAGGTTAATTAAATTTCTCTATTTTCACCATATTTTATTTAATTAAGATTATAATGAGTATTTTTTACAAAAATAATAGCATCATGCATTATACTTTAATGTAGCATATTGTGTTCAAGTGTACAAGACATGTCCATGTACCCTTACCAGGTTTTGGATGCATTTCAAGCTAAGTACACGTCCTAAAAATTAAGAATTTAGGGAGATCTAACATTTAGACGCATATTGTACCCAACACAGTTACGGGCGTCCAAGTAACACGGGTTTATATATATGGCCATGGTGCAGTGTGATGCAACCTAGCAAGGGTAATCTATCAATCAAATTAAAACAAAAATATAACCTTATATTTGTTATGTTTCAGTATGGAACAGGTTTTTTTTACTTCAAAACCGTGAAATGAACAGCAACGAACAGTTCCTTAAAATTTTGAACCAAAACCCAATCATTTATTCAGCTTCCGCAGCCTCCAAGGTGTAGCTTCTTCTGTCATATATATTGTCAGCAACCAAACAAAAAACAGAGATTAATCTCCGGTATCGATGGCAGTCTATGGAAAACTTTCCAAAATCATAGCATTGTCCGCTAGGAGTTGTTTTTCAAAAGCAACTGCATATATGGCTATATGCACCCTCAAAAAAATTTCTTACATAAGATTAGTTTCATCTTTATCGATGCCAAAACATACATGCATCATACAAATAATCAACACAGCCTTAGACTTAGAGCAACTCTTCCATAAGCTATTGCGGTACTACTCAACAAGCAAGGTACCCTAGTTCTAACTGAAAAAATGATGATTAGAAACTTTCAGACTATCACTTTCGTGTTGCTGATCTCCATGAGGGTATTGGACAATACAGCGCTTTTATGCAGGTCAGTCAAGCACATCCATCACTTTAAGACAACAAGCCAAACAATATAAGACCTTAAAATTTAAAATTATAATTAAAAAAAAAATTAAAGCACAAGTCCTCCCAAAATCTGAATATTTGTTAGCATGTATCTCAATTCTCAATGGCAGTATATGGAAAACTTTCCAAAATCATAGCATTGTCCACTAGGAGTTGTTTTTCAAAAGCAATTGCATATATGCACCCTCAAAAGATTTTCTTGCATGAGATTAGTTTCATCTTTATCGATGCCAAAAGATGCATGCATCATACAAAATAATCAGCACAGCCTCAGACTTAGAGCACCTCTTCCAAAAGCTATTGCGGTACTACTCAACAAGCAAGCAAGGTACCCAAGTTCTAAATGAAAAAATGATGATTAGAAACTTTCAGACTATCCCTTTCGTGTTGCACTCCATGGTATTGACCAATGCAGCACTTTTATGCAGGTCAGTCAAAGAAGCATGTCCATCACTTTAAGACAACAAGCCAAACAATATAAGACCTTGAAATTTAAAATTATAATTAAAAAAAAAAAAAAAAAAGCACAAGTCCTCCCAAAATCTAAATATTTGTTAGCATGTATCTCAATTCTCAATAAGGTGGTTTAACTAAGCTGTAGCCATAATTAGGGATGGTGAAATGACCAGCCCCGTCAGATCCCTGCCCCTGGCCCTCCCTGCTCCGACCCATATGTGATGGTTTTGGGGGATGTCCGGTAGGGTTTGGGTGGAGGGATAAAAACCTACGTGGGGCCAATGCAAAATTACTATAATACCCTTGTACTTTATTAAATATAACAAAATACCATTAACAAACCTAAACCCCAACTCTATCCTTACCTCATTAGGCTCGCTTATGTTTTATGGAATAATTCATGGACTAAGAATATTTTATTTAGTTTTCTCGGTACAATTTGCCTGTGTCATGTTTATGAACTACAAAGTATGGATGCTAAATGTGTTAATGTATTTGGTTTGCTATATAAGTAGGTAGCATAAATGGTTAAATTTTGATGAAGTGGGAATTTAAACAGGGCAGGGGAATTTAAACGGGGCAAAGATTCATGTAGCTAATCTCAAATTGAAAATGCCATATTGAGTCGAGTATGTATCTTACATAAGTTTTCTAAAAGGAATAAAGGGATGTTAACTTCATCAACTTACAGTGTAGCCCATCCAGATTCCAGACAGAACACAAAGAATTCCACTTCTCTTCAATCTTTGATAATTACATTTTGTCTATATCTAAAGAAATATCTTTTTATACCATTCTGGGCCATGAGTAATGAGGCCACTATTACAATCGGATTTCTGTAACAATTTTCTTGCAAGTTATACAACCAAGTAAAAGATTGTCTAAGACAAGCTATAATAAATAAATAAAAACTCACCGAGCTCACATCTACAGAAGATGTAAACACTGTGTATCTTATTGTAGCTCAGAAATAAAATAAAATTTAAAAAAAGTTCAATTAAATCTGAACAAGCTGCAGCAATTCTACCACCACTAAGTGTAGTATTGAGTATTGACACTGTGTATTTCATCACCTACAATTGGGAACCAGATGGCCAGTCATGTGCCTCATCATTTACTCACTTACCATATCAGAGGACTTCAAAGAAGTTGTGATTTGGTAGGCTACAGAGCAAATGACATTTAGGCTGCAATCCCACAGGACTCCAGCAGTTACGATCTCATCAAGGAACGCAAAATTAAGCTAAGGATTGGGCAAGATGGTCATGAGGAACAAAGCTCAAACTGGAGAAATGGTCCTGGATATTGCTTAGAGAGTAAATATCTTCTTGAGCCATTCTTTGGCATGCAAATATGGTTATCAAGGGATGCATGCTATAAAAATCAAATGGTTACATAAATTTATCAATGTCCATGAAAATTTATCTCAAGAATTTAATAAATTCCTTCCTACTGCTTTGACTGGTCAATTATGAGCCATTCCTTTGGCATCAAGGGATGCATGCTAGACAAATCAAATGGTTACTTAAATTCATCAATGTCCTTGAAAATTTATCTCATGAGTTTAATAATTTCATTCTAGCGCTTTGACTGCAATTATGGCTACAAAATCAATTTTGGGAGTGTCTCGGGAATATTCTATTTTCCCTTTCCAGACAAAAACTTCATCAGCTTTATAAAAATCATAATACTTTTATAAAACTGGTTTAGGTTTCTCCTCATAATGGTCAAATCTTGGAATTTCAAATTCCCCCCTAACTCTAATAATACATAAAATCTTAAAGCTTGCCTATTTGGGGAATTTCAGCCTTGCTTTCTTGTAAATCATTCTTACGTCTTTTAATTGACATGCACAATTTGAATCCATTCCAAGCTGCCAGTGCAATATGGTTCTCAAAGATGCATTAAAGACAAAGATGTTGCTTGCTTATCGCCCTGACTAGGTGGAACACAAAAGAGATGATACTATGACGAGGCATAGGAGAGTCCCTTCCCAAGATATTCACTTGTAGGAGATACAGGGAGACTACTGATTGTGGATTTATTAGTTTGTGCAAAAAATTATTTCCTTAGCTGTGGCAGACTGGTGGCATAGTTTAAAAGTGGCATAATGTAACGGGCCAGGAGCTTTGCGGTCCGGCCCAAAAGCTTAAGCTATTGGATGGTGCTAACACCCAACCCATATATGCCCAAGACCCTCCCCATCCAGATCTGATGTGGAACAAGAATCCATGACATTCTCCCCCACCTAAACCCATAACACCCTCATTGCAGTTAGACCGCCTTGCCTATCCGTCCACCCGAACGGTGGGGGACTTGGTACCCAACTCGGACACCTCCATGTGGGCGATTGGTGACACCGGATCAAGGATTGGGCATGCTGTGTGCTTTGCGGTCCAACCCAAAAGCTTAAGTTATTAGGTGGTGCTAACACCCAACCCATATATGCCCAAGACCCTCCCCATCCGGATCTGATGTGGGACAAAAATCCATGACAATAAGCACAATTTAAAAGATTTACTAGGAGAAAAGAGTGCAGTGGGAGCAGAGGTGGCATACCACAATGCTTGAAAGTACTGCAAGTGCCCTAATCTTTATTTGGCCGGTCTCAATTGAATAATAATAATAATAAATAGGAGAGTCGTATAAGTAACTTGATGGCCAGTGTAGAACTTTCGCCAGGACTTTATGAAGAAGAATCGTTATACAAGTAAATACTAGGGGGTTCCCCTTAAGTGATGGGTTGAATTTACTTCTGTATTTTTTGAAGATTAGACAGTGACTAAGACGTGAAACTACAATGTCAAACAATCAATTTACATTTATGCCAGGGAAATCAATAATGGAAGTTATTTATTAACTGAGAAGATTTTAAAACAAAAATAAAAAATAAAAAAAAAACATAAAGAGAAAAAAAGATCTGCATATAATTTAGGGGGAAAAAAAAGTATCTTCATATAGTTTATAAAAATTTAACAAAGTATACAATAACGATTCTGTAGATTTAATATGGTGAGTTTTATAAAAGAATGAAGTTACAATTTGATATATTTGTGGGCTAAAGGACATGTAATTTTATGATGAAATTGTGACGGTGGTATGATCAACTATAAAAGAACAAGTAAATTTCCAACTATTGTAGGCTTACATCAAAGATCATAATTAAGCCCAGATCGTTTTGCCTTTATAATGGATGAATTATCAAAACACATTCCAAATGAGTTTCCATGGTATTTCCCAATGATATCAGTTTGAGGGATCAAACTATAGAAAGGATAAGTGTCAAATTAGAAACCTAAAGAAAAGATCTCGAATCAAGAGGGTTTAAGACAAGTAACAATAAAATTGAATATATGGAATTCTACTTTCGTGAAGATTGGGGGCGAAAAGATACCAAAAAGTGAATACTTTCATTAGGTAGGCTCGATTGTGCATAAATTGAGAAAAAATGGAGTGATGTTCATCACAGAAGTAAACCAGAATGGGTTAAATGAAGGAATGCTTTTAAAAACTGATGTCGTTTGCACATGGTGAAACCGTCATAATTGATTCTCTCTCTTTTTATATATCCAATTGGTGCTACTTCAGCCATCTTACAAACGTGTCCATTTTAATTTTATCTTTCTTGTATTGCCGCACAATCATCTCAACATTAACATTTTTGTTTCTCATTATATTTATATGTTATTTCTTGACTGCCCAATATTCTATCATGCATGGTATAGCTGGTCTAGCAGTTGCATTATAAAACTTGCCTTTAAAATTTTGAGGTGCACAACAATATTTGAGACATTCCTTCATTTAACCCATTCTGAAAATATAGTGAAACATGATGGTCAAAGAAGAACTGCAAAATCCCTCTACAAAGTAGAATTGCAAAATTCCTCTACTAAATGGACTAAAAAATCTAACTGGAAGTATCATGAAACACTAGGGTTGCACATAAACTAACTGCAAGCAAATTGAAATAAAAATCAAACATTAATTTACAGAAGCAATCATTATGTCAGAAGCATATCAGGAAGCATAATTTCAGCCACTCACCAAAAATAGTCATGTTCGTTTCCATACAAGACATGAATAGACGCAACATAATATATCAATAGATTAAGAAAAACTCGTATACTTCCAAAAATGAATGGATGACTAAATTTACCTCAAATCATAATTAAACCTTCGATTTTTTCCCGGTCACAATCTGGAAAATTTGCAGGCCTCTGCTAAAAGCTTCATTAAATAGGATTCTGGTTTGCATCGACTGGAACCCAGGCATCCATGAGAGTAGCGCCACAGGGGCCATAACAATTACTCCAAACATTATATCATACATTCGAGCCAACGAAACAACAGTCTCCCAAATCATAATGTTTTGCAGAAAGGGCCGGAGCACTTGGGCAATTAAAATGAAACCCCAACCAGTTGGAATGAATGCCAACAGACTCGTAAAAAGATCCAAAAACTTGAACTGGGTGAACTGCAGCAATGCAGTGACTACAAGTATGGTGAAAATAATAACAAGGAACTGAACCAACCGATAATAGATGTGTTCTTTTGCAGCATACTTGTCCCGTGCATAGGCAATAACAAGATAAATCCCAATAGCAACAACAACATAGATCCAAGACAGCAAGTAAACAGCGACACTTTTGCTACCAGCAGAAATGCCCAGCTGGTATACAATCCCGTACTGGAAAAAGAAAAAACGGAGGTCTAAAACTATTTCCAATATCTTTCCCCAAAGGCCAGTTGTTCTTAGATGATCCTGCTCCTCGTACCACCATCTTTCCCAGCTCTGCTCTGCTTTTGCAAACACACCACCACGGTACCATATCCAATTCATAAAATCATCGAAGTCATATACGGTCTTCAACCAATCGAAGCCAGAAGGATTGAATACAAAGGGGGCAATGATCCATGACACCACGAGGATCCAACTTGAGATGGTTAAGAGTATGTAAACGACAGTGCCTTTGGCTACAGGACTGTAGGAAGCATAAATGATGAGTATCATACCAAGCTCAATTGCCTTCACAAAATGGCTACGAGCAAAGAGTCTATAATTCTCGGCAAAACTCTTATGCTCCACGACAAATCCACGTCCAGTTGCCCTGTACTTTGCACCACCATGAAGAATAGTTCTGCCAAAGTAGTGAGCTCGAGTACCCATGGAGAATGTGTAGAACACAGTTGAAAGCTGGAGCTGCATTGTTAGGAAATCCCAGATGGCTGCAAGGAACCCATGCTCAAGTGAATTTTCAACAATCATTGGCAAGGCAGTAAACAGACCAAGTTGGATGATGAGCTGCTGGTTCAAGATTGCTCCAAGTGCTTTATTGTTGTTAATTTTATCTGCCAAAACAGAAGCCTCAATCCCACTAAGGGCTAAATAAAGTCGGCCCCATAAAAATGCATATACAGTCAGGACGACCATCATCGTATTGAAAAAAAATCCAATGGTAGTATAAAAAAATGACAGCATCCGAAAGAAGTCCAGCCTGTGACCTAACCTATAGACATCTCTGCTGAGAACTTGCTCACCATTTCCACTTGCAACCTTGGCTTCAAACATGGATACCTGGTTCAACCCGACATCCCTTCCCTTGCCAACCTGGATGTATTCGTGGTGAGTAACATTGCCACCTCGCAACGTGCAGTTGAAGCCAGCAAAAATGTCCTCACTGATGTTAATCACTCTAGAAGCTTTGCTAAGCCCTCCCCGAGTCAAGAACCAAAACCTATCAAACACATCTGGATGGCCATAATGCAATCGAATTTTCAAGGGGTTTGCTAAAACACGCTGTCCCAAGGTAACAAAACATGTCTCTTGAGCCGACATAAACCAAGCAAGTGATGAGACAGAACCAGTAAAAATGTGTTCCCGAACTCCCAAGATAGTAGGTTTCCGGATACCGTAGTAGTGCCTGTACTCCTCCAATAGATTTCGCATTTTGAGTGCCTCCTCAAAATAGTTATCTTGGTTCATATCAATGGTCTGAACTGCATCTCCACGAGTGAAGATAAGAGCATGGTTCTGATTCTCTGGCTTTCCCTCTCCAAGCTTCAAGGGACCAGGCAGCTTGACCCGGAAGATCTCCACTTCCCTCTGCAACTGTTGATCATACTTCACGAGAACAGAGTAATAATCCTTCTCATCCCTTCCCGAGGAAACTTCATCAACATAGGCAACTCTAAGGGCTTCGTTGTTCTTCATTAAATACAAAATTTCCTCAGCATGTGGGTCTTTCTTCGCCTTTTGAGCCCCATAAATCTGGCAGGCGACCACATAAGTGAACTTCATCAAGGCAGTTCCATACTCATGGCCTTTAAACAATAAACCCACTGAACTATCTGCTCTACTCAGACTCCTTGTAGATGGTGACCTTTCTGAGCTTAAACCATCCAAGCTGCTGCCTTGCCTCATCAAGGCAAGTTCCTGTGATCCTTCCCTGATGTCCATCTCCGATGCAGTATCAAGAAAAGCCAGCATCTTAAGAGCCCGATAGTAATACATCATTCCCCTCACAGTGCGGCTAAGAGTCTGGCCTCTGAACGAAGCCCAAAGCCGAAGATCCCTGAGCTTGTTTGTCCATATTTCATTATCATTCACCACACCCTCTCGGCGCATCCGCTCTATGAAATTCTCCCACTCATCAGCATATATTGTCTGCAGATAATATAAGATTGAAATCCCATCTTCATTCTCTGTTCGAAGTTGTTCCTTGTTGTACAGCACTTCTTCGTTGTAGTAAGGGGTCAAAACACTAAAAGCCATCATTTTCTCAACTTGGGGAGCATGGGGCATGTTCATAAACAGGGAGTTGCTGAAGAAAGCAATTCGGCGCCTAGCCTCAAGATTTCTTGGGATATTGTTCATTGAGTCCCGAGATGTAAGAATAGTGTGCAATCGCCTAGCCTGACGGTAGAAAGTCTCATTATCTGCACCAGGCAATTCAACAGCATTTTCAAAAAGCAACCCTGCACCAGAAATGGGTCCAGAAGGAGCTAAACCATCCTCCCTCAGCTGATCCGTGCTCCTCTTTTCTTTAAAGAAATCACGAATGCAAACCTCGTAAAGCGCCTGTAGTACATTCACCACCTTGTTAAGATCTTTCTTAGGTTTGATCAAGAGTTCAAGCAGAGTTATCAGCTTAGCATGAATCTGTGGAAGTGCAGTCATTTTAAATGTTTTGGTGAACTTCTCAATCTCAAGTGAGTGGTCGATTTCTTGAAACAAGATTGCGACAATGGAATGTTCCTCTGTGTTGCATTTAATGATCTCAAGCAGCAAGTGCCTGACACTATCATAGGCTTCAATAACAGCACAACGCCTGTACTCATTCTTGCAAATCTTATACCAAAGCCACTTGTCAGGTGCATCTACCAACTCTTTTGCCTGGCTTAGAGCAAGAAGCAGCTCATTGCAGAGGAGCAAACATGGCCAGCGAATTACCCTGACATTCCAGGTATTCTGAGGCAGCTCCAACAGCTCAACCTCGTGATCGCTGATAATATCTTCTTCCCTGAATATTAGAATTATCTCATTCCATATCAAGGCAAATTTGTTCGCTTCCACCTGGTTTGATTCAAGCTTCTTAAACGGTCTTCCGAGCCCATACCTCAGCTTCAACCGGCTTATGGCATCTTTAAACTTGCTTTTCAGTGTCCCCCTTGCATTCAGTAGCTGCTCCTCAGGCATGAGATTAAACTGAATTGCACTAGCGAAAAACTGGAACCTCAACCTCAACTGCTGCATGTTTCGAATCTCGCCCAAGTGCGCAAACAACCCAACTCCAGCACCAACAAATGAGGAGTAGATTGAGTACCAAATTTGCAAATCCATTAGGTAAATCAAGACCACAGGAAGCCACAATAATCCAACTGCAAACCTGTTGCTGTTGTTGAAAAACTCATGCCATTCGTAACTCAAATCCCCATTGTCCAAAAGGTTTTTTGTCGGAGCAATCATGGGTTTGATCTGTAAGAAATAACTGAAGCAAAATTTCGTAGCAATAACAACAATCCAGAACAGAGAATATTTAATATTGTCCACAAGACCTTCCCTAAGGCCACGACCAACAAAAGTTCGGCTCTGAAACCACCAGGACAACAAGTAAAAGATCCTCCAATTTGTATTCTCAATGAAATTTCGAATCCAGGGCAGAATGAAGAGAGCTAGAGCCAGAAGCTCTGGCAAAATGAAAACCAAGGCTACCTCAAGAAAATTCACCACTCGCCTATTTGCCGCACCAGACCAGCGTCCATCACGGTTCCTCTGTGACCACATTCTACCATAGAAAACACCAAAAACAATAATCCACACTACTGCAGCAACACACTTCAACACCATTCTCACCCCAAGCCATAAAGTCTCCCTCGACACCAAACGATACTGCATCCCTACATCTAGAAGGGACTGAATAAACCTCAAAATACTCCATGTAAGGAACACAGTTAAAACCTTAACCTGAACCTCCCGAATTTTTAAGGCCTGCCATGGAAACTCCTTCTCCTCCCAAGCAACTATAATAGCTGCCTGAATAAACAAAATCAGCATAATCCAGAGCTTATCAAAGCTCCGAAACAAGTTCCAGAAAGATCTCTGCTCCACAAACCCCGTTTTACCCACATGCTTAGCCTTACTGGTCGTCACAAAAAAATTGCTACCCACATCAATTGGCCAGTTCAACTTCGTAAAGCACCTCCTACTCCAAAAGTATTCATTTATATCATCATAATTCCTCCAGGCCGAATGGGCTGCAGTCCCATTCCTACTGTTATCCACTTCCGCCTTAATCGTCTCGTAAATGGGTTTCACCACAGAGTTCAGGAATGCATTTTCACCCATTGTAGACGGGAGCACAGGCTGGCCTGTGTTCTCGTCGATATAGTCTTCTAGAATTCTATTGAGTTCCATAGCCATATTATGAAATATATAGCTAATACATTCAGGAACAAAGCGAATGTTAGCAGACTCACCCCAAATCAGGAGATAGAGAGAGACGTAGAGGAGCTCACGGCGGTGATCGGAAGCGGAGGGTTGGCGGCGGCTCTCAGAGATCCAGACGTTGGACTTGCGGCCGAGGTAGGAACACCAGGAGCTGTAGTTCTTGAGGAGCTTGCGGCGGAAGCGGCGGAGGACGGTGGGGTCGAGGGAGTCGATGTTGTCCGGCGGTGGTTGGAGGCGCATCTGGGCGTTGGCCAGGTGGAGGACTAGGTGTTCGCGCTGGTTGCGAACGTTGTCGTGTTGGAAGCCGAAGAAGACGCCGAGCCAGTCGAGAAGGTCCAGGTCCTCCCGCCATGAAGTGTATGGGGGCCTGCGGAGGTCGCCGACGGCGCGGAGGGCCGAGGCGGCGGCACGTACTTCAGGGTAACGGAGGGATGGATGGTCGGCAAGGAGATTGTGGATGGGGATGATGTTGTAGGGTTGGTCAGATGGGTCGGGTTGGGGTGATCTGTTGGGTGGGCGGTTCGGGGTGTAGGGTGGACCGGGGGGTTGTGGCTGGGCCGGTGGTGGTCGCTGTCTGCGACTCATAGCATCGGAGATCTGGGAGGAGAGTGGTGGTGTCTGTGAAGGGTTTGGGTTTTTGGGGCAGAATGGGAGCGGAGATGCAGATGAATGAGAGAGAGTAGTCTCAAACGAAGAGATAGAGACACAGAGAATATGGAGAGTGGGGGGGAGGTCGTGAGGGTGGTGACGTGCAAGACCAATGATGAGAAAGGGGAAGAAGAAGCGAGCGCGTTAGCGCGTTGCAATTTAATTATATATATTAATATATATAGCTTTAAGTTTCCTTTTCAAAGGATAATTTTCCAGTGGGATTTTTTATTTTTTTATTTTAGAATAATTAAGGTTTATTAGGAAGCTTAATCCAAATATTAGGGAAGGAGCTAAGGAGATTTTCAAGCTTAATATGGATTGGTGTTGGATATTACAATTACAAGATAAGCAAAATCTGTCTTTCAATATCATCATCAGTATTCAATATTATAATTTTGGATATAAAAAGTTCGGTTTTTACTTTTTAGCTGTCCATAGCATGTAAAGTTCATTGGTACTAAAAGGGATTTGAGAAGAAAAAAAATATAAAATGGAAATTAATTAAAGGGACTCCATCCATTTCATTTTGAAAGATGGGTTTGGATAAGAGGCTTTAATTTTCAATCTATATTTTCAAAATATTTGAGAACCTTTGGATATAATGAGTTCCAATTTTAAAATCCGGGCAAGAAATTTCAATAAGTTTTTACATTATAACCATATTAATAATATAATCCAAGAAAACATCAGATATTAACACTTAAAAGCTTTTTCTACTGTATTATTCTATTGAAAATTTACTAAATAAAAAATAAATGCAAGGTGGTACCCAGAAGTAAGTTATATTTAGTGGGTCCCAGGAAAAAGAGGGCTTTTAAAATTTGAATAATTTTCCGCGGTTTTGGTTAATATGAAGACAAATGGACAATTCTGTAACTAAGACCCTTTCCTTTCCGTTGTTTGCAAGTGTCACATGTTGTCCCCATTTCGGAATTAAAAGTCCACACGCTATTGTAAATGTAAAAACTCCAAATGCAAGAAAGCTTCCTCAGTCTTTATAGGGATGTGATTTGGACATTATAATTACTTAATTAGGTCACCATGACAAAGCACCACCCACCATATCAGATTTCGGTTTTAATCCATAATTGGAGTAGTTTGTCACTTGTCTCATGAAGAACTTTTGTTTACCATCTGATATCAAGTCACGTTGTCACCTAAATATGTTATTCTAATCAATTGAAATAATGATTTTATGTCTTCTTAGATATGAGGTTGCGGTTCTAATTTTGTTTTGGACGGGATTGCAAGACTCGCAATATCTGAAAAGTAATTTAGCAATTTATTCCTTTCGCTTGCAGTTGGTAGATTTTGTTCAGTAGTATATTACTTTTATAAGCTGATATATAAAGATGTTTATAATTTTGAGTGTAATAATGACAACATTGAAAAATTGGAGGGAAAAAAAATAAGAAAGTGAAATTTGAAGTTTGGGAGGTGAAACTTGTAGTCTTCTAATTTTCACATGGTACAATATGTGTCGGACCATATAAATCTTTGAGTTCTTTGTAATTCTTTTATTGTCTCTTGTTTTATTATTGATTCTCTGCATTTTTACTGTAATGTTAGAAATGTAAATTTTAATTATTTCGTATCAAACATTAATCACAAATAAACATAAATTTTAAGATCTTAGAACTTCATTATTTTCGCATGGTCTATAATTCATAAATAAATAGTTAGATATAAATACATCCATCTGTAATTACAAATATCGTAGATATCAAGGCAAACGTTAAGATCCTTTATGCGGAATGAATAACGTGATAAATTGCAAGTTAAAGTGTGGAAACCGATTTCTCTCTCTTGACCTTTTGCACATATAAACACTGTACGTATTATTTTCATTAACGTACATAATTGATGGGATATATGCACTTTTATAAAGGTAGAGAGATGATCAGTTTTCTTTTTTAGTAAGTTTAATTCCACTTTCCATCAAAGTAAGGGATAAATAGAAAAACATTTCTCCAATAATTAATTACCATAAAGGTAATTTATAAGTTTACCAAATAATATAATATTAATCTAAAAAATATTTATTTTATTTAACCACCAAATAATAGAAGTAAATCATGTGTCCAAATCATTTGGGCCACAAATATAAGAAAATATCTTACAAGAAACATAAAAAATTAAAATTTGCAAGACAAATTCAATTATCATTAAGAAATAAGTTGTTATAACACCAACACTTTTTGAGAATTTCTAACTTATTGTATGGATTAGGTGCATTAAAACTGTTTTGAATGCATATCATCCTTTATCTCAGAGAAAACTTGGAAAATTCTTATAATTCATGAAGTCTTGTACTATTAATATTAATGACAATTTAGTAAATCCGTGATGGTAGGTGTCACTGGCCTCAAGTTTCACGCGCAGTAGGATGGCCCAGGTGGCACCCTTTGTAAGGCTCAACCTACACGACCTCCACATCAAGGTTGGTTTCAGCATGCCTTGGCCCTCATTAGGGGAACAACTCCAATTCCCGACTAGTTTGTGTAAGCGATGGCCACATGCCATCATATGAGACTTGCACGCTTTTTCCCTAGAACCATTTCAGTTAAGTGATTCCGCCTACCAAAAAACATAAGTCCTTACACCCAGGGCCGGCTCGAGCCTTAGGCGACTTAGGCGGTCGCCTAAGGCCCCAGCCAATAGGAAGGCCCCAAATTTTAAATTTTTTTTTATATTAAGTAATACTATAATTATTTCTTAATATGGTTAAACTCTAATAAATATGAAAAATTTATATTAGGCCTTAAAGATTTATATCCTAAAATAATTTATTATTATTATTATTTTTGTCTATCCCACTCATTTCGATTTTATATTAGGCCTTCAAATATTTATATCATAAAATAACTTCTTCTTTTTTCTCTCTTTTCTCTCCCCATTCATTCCGATTTTATAGTAGGCTTCAAAGATTTATATCTTTATGTGACTTTTTTTTCCCTCCCTTTTTCTATTCTCATTTATGTTTTACAATAAATCCTAACCAATATAGAAATTTAATATTGGTCCCAAAAAAATATTGTATGATTAAATAAAAATTTTCCCCCTCTTTCTTTGTCTCTCTTTCATGTTTTTTACACCGACGCTAAAAACATTTTTGAGTAAGTTACACCAACACTAAAATATTAAATATCTATTTGACGTTGTTTGGAAAAATGGAAAAAACTTTCCATTTTTTTTTTTTTTTTTTTACATTTTATCTTCTTATTTTCAACAAGTCTTGTCCTCCCCATTTCATTACAAGTTTACAGTTGTTATGAATGCATTTTTATTCAATTAAAAAATTTGTAGAAGTATTGGATTTGGGTTTTCTAAATCAGGTTCAATGGTTATTTTTCTTTAATTATTTTTTAATTTTATTTGATTTTTGTTATTATAAATTTGTGTGTCTATTAGTATATATATGTGTATATTTTGTTTTTGAGTTATGACTAATTTTATTTATTTTTTGAAAAAATCACTTTTTATTTTTGACCTAAGACCTCAAATTAGATTGAGCCACCTATCTATTGTATCTTTTTATATTGGTGGGCTTATGTAACTATCATACTAAGTCTAGGTCTTCCAATAAGTTCAGGGGTCCTAGTCTTATCAATATGGGTATTCTTAACCATGCAAATTATAAAGAGGGACAATATGGACTGAGTAACATCTAGAAAGCATAAGGTGACTGAAGAATACAAGTTGATATGTTTGGAATTACACAACTCTTTATTGTATCTTTTTATATTGGTAGGGCTTATATAACTATCATACTAAGTTTAGGTCTTCTTACCAAGTCTAGGTCTTCTAATAGTTTTACGCATCTGTAACTATAATACTAAGTCTAGGTCTTTTAATAATTTCACGGGTCTTAGTTGTATGCGTGCAGGAGCGGCTGGACCTTAGGCGATTTAGGAAATCTAATGCCTCAGCCAATAAGAAGGCCTTAATTTTTTTTTTTCTTTAATTCTTTATATTATATCCTTCCTAAAATTTTTATTTCCTTCTTATTATCACTTCAGCCAATATAAATGTCCAAAAATTTGTATTTCCTTATATTATAACTTTCAAAATATTTTTATTTGTTTATATTATAACCTTCCTAAAAATGTTATTTCCTTCTTATTATTAAACTTTGTCCAATAGAAAGGCTCCATTTTTTTTATAAATTTTTTATATTATAACCTCCTTAAATTTTTTATTTGTATCGATTATTACCCTAACCAATAGAGATTTAATAGGGGCCAAAAGATTCATATCTTTATCTTAACTATTTTTTTTCTCTCTCTCTCAGCTCATTCACAATTTATTTTTTTCTCCAGATTTTGTAAAACTTTCTATATTCTTATTTTAACTTTTATCTCTTTGTTTTTTTTTTTGTTTTCCTTCTTATTTCTGACATATTTTTCCTCATTTTTCATTAAGTATAAGTTGTATGACTCTAAAATCATTTATGTGACAAACAAGATTAATTGAATTGACTATATATATATATTAGATATTCAAAGGCCACTTTTATATTTTTCGCTTAAGGCCTCAAATTATATTGAGCCTCCCCTGCTTACACCCTAACATCGCATGGGACTTTACCCCTGCAAACATAAGGCTTGTTGAGCATATCCAATAGTAGTCAAAACTCTTCTATGATTTTCAAAAAACATTTTACCATCAGTTTTACAGATGGTAAGAATCTTATTTACAATAATATTGATTTAGGGACCAAATTACTGAATTCAAATTATATAAAAGTATGGGTCTCAATACGTCATAATTCGGTAGTTACTTTTAAATCACTACTCTATTCACAAAGGAATTAATTTTTAGGTTAGTTAGTCAAAGTGATTTTATATCCAAAATATAAAGAAATAAAACTCCATAATTACTACTCATTTACGGAAACAATGTATATATGATTTTTATTTATTTTGTAATTTATGAGGGTTTTGGGCAATTAAAATATAAAAATTGATTAAAAGACAAAAAACTATTTTACAAATGGGTTACGCGACCATTAATGTCATTTTAGTACTTTTCTGCATTATTTAATCAGTAAGTTAGATCTACTGACCGTTACATGGGAGACCCCATCATATTTTAGTGCTAGTGCTCCAAATTATAATATAATATGATTTATAGACATCTAAATTGACGGTACAAAGTGGTGAGATCTAGAAATCCGAAAAAGGAGGCTTCAAATATGACGACCTTGCTTTTCACATCCCCCAAGTCCCAGTTGAGCCACTTTGACGTTATCACCTCTGATCTCAAATGTAACCCATCTGTGATTATGTCTACCATATACAATTAATAAAAAGAAGACAAAAAAAGGGTGAAACACATTTCACTCCGTAAGAGACAACCCAGTGGCATTGGTTGGGGGCTCACACCAACTGTGCACACACTTGTCACCTACCTGTATACAATATATTAAATCAATATCCAAAGTCAAGATTACACACCATTGAACCCGTCAAAGACTTAATATCGAAACTCAAGATGACACACGTTGTCCAATCAATTACTTCATTGATAACTCACATCCAGCAACTAAATACCCATACAATTCAAAAGAAATTTCCATGAAAGACCAAGTTGTGAAGAGTTTGGTACGCCCTCAATACGCCCCTCCGAACAGTCATCATCAATGAAAGCCTCTTGGGTTGGGTGTGGTAGTCATTTTCTATTTTCTGTCCCCCCCCCCCCTTTTTTTTTTTTTGTCTTCATACCCGAATTCAATAAAGTGTTGTGTACGCTCTAATATAACTTAGCTTTGTGGTTTATTGAACTTTTTATATCACTCACTTTCATGAATTGATTTTGGGACTTTGATTTTGAATACGTAATGAGGAGTTGTAGCTGATAATATAAATGCGAATTGGGGGGGGGGGGGGGGGGGGGGGGGGGGGGGGGTGTTGAATGGTTTCTCCTCTTTTATTTTGTAACTAATTTACCTTATGCTGAAATGTTGTGCTCCTCTTAGAATCATCTCATTTTGAGGTAATAAATCTCTGTGTTTTTTGCTCCTCAATAATAATTAATCAAATTGTAGAAATTTCTCCCCCTCTTTTCTTCTATTGTTGCCCATACGGTCCCATTCCATATGTCCATGCCATACGTATCCGTAATCACATAGGAACAAACTTGACCTTTCTATTTTTTCTCATGACAAACGAAGTTGAAAAGAAAACAACAACAACAATAATAATATACTCACGTGAAATTAAAAAAATTCCTAGAATGACAACTCAGTAAACTATCATTACATAAACCAAATCAAATGGCAGATATTTATAAGATATTTATGGTTGAAAACGGGGGCATTAAAAACATAAACTTTGGATGAGATTTGGAATAGATTCTGCTAATAATTTTTTACGGATCTTTAGACGAGCGCGTTTCTCTCCGCAAGGAGATGAACGTGATATATTTACTTTCTCAAATCCGTTTCCAGGTGAATGAGAAATTAACTCCAAAGTGGAGTGCTTTAATAAGCCTAAATGGGCATGTAAAATGTGGTAAGTGTTTGTCCCACATGGAAAAAAAATGTTTAAACCAATTGAAATTTAAATAAGTCAGATTTGGGTTTGGGCATGGACTTGGGCCTAATTGTAAAGTCCAATTATTTTTTTTACTAAATGGAATTTTGGATTGGGCCTTTAATTTTGGGCTGGGCTTATTTAAATGGGTGGTTTTTTTATTTTATTTAAATTAAAAGTTAGTTTTTTTTCTAAAGGGTTGCATCTATTTCTAAAGGGTTGTATCTATTTTTCAAAGAATTATATCTTTTTCTAAAGGGTTGCAACTCAAAGCCAATAGACATAACTATTCATGTGAACCATTGCAACCTATTGGAGTGGTTGTGTCTATTGGTGAACAAACACCATGTGAATCATTGTAACTAATTGGAGTGAATGTATCCAGTGTGAAGAGACACACACATATATATATGGTTGTATCCAATGATGAAGAGACACACCCACCCGACAAGGCATTTTGTTGCCTATAAATACCCCCATTTGGATCATTTGTAAATCATTCATTTCCATTTTCTTCTATCTCCCTCTCTAGACTTGAACCCAACCCAAGTGGGTTCAAACCATAGGTTAAGTGGTCCGAACCACTTAGACCCTAATCTAATTTCATCGAGCCATATTAAGATTAGTTCGAACCATTTGGTTCGCATTGCATTCAATTCAGTATTTATATAGTATAGACGTATTTTTGAGTCAGAGAGAGTATTACACAGAGAAAGTTCGCCGTATCTACAAGTTTGTAGTGTTGCTACTGGTGGATGTAGACCGTTGTATCCTGGGAGATAGACGCCACTGAATCCGTGAGCACCAAAGCGGGGCGAATCTGTCTTAAGGACATAGTATCCAACATTAGCCTCGATCCAGATTCTTTATTTATTATTATTACTTTATTGCTTTATTTTACATATTTAATTAAATATAGAATTACATATTTAATTAATGATTTTTTAGCATATTGTTAATTATCTTATGACGGTTTGTTATATTTTAAATGTCACATGAAGCATATATTTACCAACATTTAAAATATGAGATATTTTTTGACAGCTTTCTCTCCATCCACGAGAATGACAACGACATTGATGAATGAAACCAGGAACCACAGCTATGCCCTCTAAAGTTGTCACCGCGTGGCCAGACCACGACTAACATTCATTTTGTTTGATTATTACCTCTTGCATTAAGGTAGTATTTTTCATTTAAAAATTATAAATCGTAGAGAGAAGCTACTAGTTGGATGAGATGAACTGTCCTATTACACTCACCTGCCGCATATCCTCCTCCAAACAATATTAGGGCACAGTGAATTGTGCAAACCAAGTTTGCTAAACAGCATACATAGTGTGCACTGTGTGCTTTCATGCACTTCCTTTCAGCTACAGCTCCATATGAGAAATCTAAATCTAAAAATCAGTTCTAGAAAGTAGGCTATTCAATTTTGAAGAATTAATGAAGTTTCCAATGAATGTGGGTGTACGCATGGACTCATTCCGATGGGACCCATAGCCCACTCCGCTGACCTTAATGCCTCATCAATGAAACAAAGTAAAGGAAATAAAGATAAATATATGCATCCCAGGTATTCATGGGAGCTTACAGTCGTATATATCAAGACCTGGAATTTCAATAAAAGGAGCTAGGGGTCATCATTTAACAGATAAGACTAGTCAGTCAAATTGTAAATCAACTTGATCATGGTAAATAAAAACCAATTACGCAGTTTTGGAATCAAGTCACAAATATACAGTGATCTTTTTGTATCTCTAATCCATATACACCAACTACAAGCAAATTACACTATCCTTTATTAGACAAAAGATTAAACTAAAAACATATGATGTTTGATGTGGCAATTGGAGGTTGCTGTGATAAATGGATGGTTTAGGATGGATGCAGAATACTTACTTACCCAGACCATCCTCTCTGAGAACCTCCGGAAGAGTGCACATTCAACCTGTCGAGCACAGCATTGAAATCAACAGGCTGACCACTCTCCTCCAGCCTCTGAATCACGCTAACAACGTGATCACCCCTGTAACCCATGCTCACCAATTTCTCAATCAGGTCATTGTAGGGATGGTTATGCATGAATTGTGGGGGCCGGGGATTCTGAGAAGGGACATTTGTTGGAGGATAGCCACCTTGTGGAAATTGAGGTTGTTGGGGTGCATGATGCATCCTTCCCCCGTCACCTTCATAGATCAAATATGCGTTCCCTGGAGAGGTTGTGGGATGAGCTCCAGCAGCTGTGTACCCATCGCCAGTCTGCATTCCAAAAGAGGGTTTGAGCTGCTGAGGTGGAGGCTGTGGCTGAACTGTTCTACCAGTCCCGCCATATCCATAAGGCATTGCCTCCGAACGACTTGCACTGGGTTGCGAAATTCCCGAGAATGGTACTTGCATCGGCATGCTGTTTGGAACTGTCTCTGGAAGAGAGGGGTTTGCAGGTTGACTTGGCAGGTAAGTAGGATATATTGCAGTTGATGGGTGTCTTATCTGCGGTTGCATAGAGGGCTGCTGAGGTGCTTGCACCTGCTGAGGTAACTGCTGAGGCCACTGCTGCTGAAACTGAGGTAATGGTTGGATTTGCGGTGTCTGATTTACTTGAGATTGTGCTGGCTGCGGTGCCACCCTAGACATGTCTTGCATTTGGGGAGTTCCATATTGAGAATCAGATGGCAGATATTGACCCTGGGTTGGTTGTGATTGGGCTGGGGGATTTGATATATGGGCTGGAGGTAAGTAGTACGCCTGTGGTTGGGAAACACTCTGAGGTGGGGGAGGTGGAAGGGGTGCCACGGGCTGCTGCTGTTCAACAGGTCTGTTGGGGAGTGAAGGCTGTGAGGCTACTTGATGGGGCAGAGCAAGAGCCAATTGCTGGTTGTGCATGTCTGATGTGTTCTCAGTCCATTTAGGATCAGATGTTGGTGGTGCAACTCTCTCCTCATTCTGTTGGGAATGGGACCCAGAAGAGGATTCTTTCTGTGCAAGCTGAAGCTTGGCAAGTTCTTTCTGGGTTTCAGCAAGTTCCTGCTTGTCTCTTAGGATCTGTACTGACCTGTGGACCTGCAGTAGGGATTATGAAACAAGTACACTGATTTCCTAAACTTTACTTGGAAAATTTTAAGTTAGAAAAGTGAGAAGCAATAACAGCAGTGCATTGATAAACATGAAAAGAGCCCATTTATTCAGAAGCAAAGCAGGCTGCTTCCATTCAGATCAATATACTGCTGACATACCCAAGGCTCAAATCAAAAGAGAGAAGCCAAGGCTCAATCAAAAGAGAGGAGCCAAGGTTATCAATTTATTCTACAGAAAAAGCAAGAAATAGAAAATAAAATATGTATCCTGCCAAACAAATGGTCTTCATTTCCCACTAATTTAATAGTGACAATCAATCAAAGAACGCAACAAAAGAGATGTCAGCATCTTTCTCTTAAGTATTAAACCCTAAAGCCCACCAATCCCTTAGATGATGGGTCAACACATTTACCATCGAGCTACAATGGATTTGGCAGTCACTAGGATACTGCACATTATATTTACTTGGAAGAAAAAAGAAAAAGAAAAAGAAGATACTGCATATTATGTTTGATACATTAAATAATTCAAAATACATATCTAGACTTGCCAAAAGCTTGATAGTATGATGCTGAACTAAATGCCTCTGATGATACCGTATTTAAGCAAAGCTCACTTCGACACAGAACAATTATAATGAGTCTACGGTCATTCAAATGTATTTTATATATTCATGCCTGGGATTTGTTAAATTTAAATGGTAACACGTTTTCCTCATAGCATTCGGGATGAACTTTGCATGCCTTTGAGATCATTTTTAGGAATTCAAGACACCACCGTTCAATTCTTTACTACAACAGGTGGTGATTGCTCTATTTTCTTCAAGGATCCATCTATGAGATGCAGTTGCACCGTTAAATGCTAACGAGAACCACCCTGAAAAGTCCAACCACGTGTTAAAAGAACTCAAGGGTAGTTTCAATGTTTATACATTATTTATCACTTCACTGAAGTACACATGTAACCCAGAGTCCAGCAAGACATAGAATATCCTGCACAGTTGAACCCAGACTATCCGATACCACAAGGAGGTATGTTCCACAACATGAAATTGGAACTCACAGGTCCACTCAACAAACCCAGAAAGCTGTTTCCAATGCTACCTAAAGATATCAGTTCTCGCTACCTACATTGCACAGTAAATGGGTGTACTGAAGAGCCAATGTTTTTATCTCATAATAACACAAGTTAAACCAAGATTAAAATAATAATAGGTGTAATGTCCACCTAGAAAGTTGCAACTCACCTCTTGGACATGCTTCTCGAGAGATTTAAGCTTTGACTCTGCATCTCCATGGTCACGAACTAATTCAGATCGCATTTCTCCAATGGATTTATCGAGATTGTAGCAGTATAGTTCCAATTGCGAGAGTCTTGAACTGATTCCCTCAAGAAAACGCATGAGATTGTCAGCATATTTCTTCATGGTCTTTTCAACAGTAGAAATCACATCTTGGCTAGAACTTTCTTCTGGTGGACCATAGGAGGAAGCAGGAAAATGTGATCTAGCCATTCTGCTTTTAGGTAGATCCTGCTCAATATAAAAATGATAATAATATTCTTAAGCTTTTACCAAAAAAAAAAAAAAAAAAAAAACTGAAATTCCAATTGTAAGCATAAACCACACAACAGTAAATAACAAGATACAAAATGGCATTAGATAATGAATTCAAGACGAACGTAATTATCATCTTCTATTTAATATCAATAGAAAAGTTGCCTTTATATGCAAGACTAAAGAGAAATGCATGTCAATACCATCTGAATTCTGGAAAGATGAATACATTCTGTTTCTAAACAATTACGTGGGATGACAAGGGGGCAACCTTTCTAGCAAAATCAAAAGTGGCTCTCTTAAAAATTTACATACAGAACACGTTGTCCTTGAATTCGATAACCCCCAGAAACCACAAAGCAGTTAATTTTTGGGGGTGTTAATGGTTTGGAGTGGAACAAGGAGAGACTGAAAATAGCAGTAAAGAGTGAGAGTGAGAGTGAGAATGCGAGTTAGGGTTTGGGGGCTGAAACTTGTAATCTCCTAATTTTCGCATAGTGAAATATTTCGCCGAATCTTCACCGTGGACGTAGGTTTGCTTTAAGCCGAACCACGTAAATCACTATGTTCTTTGTAATTGGCGTGTTTGTTTTTCTATTGTGATTCGTGAGTTATTCTTGGTTCGCGTAACACTTACTGTCATAGTAAGACTTCCACACATTAGATCTCAAACCGAGTCATTTTTTCTCAAATGGTCAACCAGATGTTTTGGTTTCATAGAAGCTGAAGCAAAACCAAACTGAAATATCCAGTTAAGCATAAAATATAGACGCAGCATTCCTGTTTTCAATTTCATGAAATCAGTTAGGGTATGCTACTATTATGTTCGAGTCTTCTCAAACATTTTGGCAATGAAACTGACACTTTCATGGTTGCCTAACAAATAATCATGTCACGTTAACGCTTCTTTCTATTTTATTTATTCAATTATTTGTTGCTAAGTTTTCCAGAAATTCATTCAAATATAAATGGAGGCCATCTTGTTCTGCAATCAGAACCACATAATTTGGGGGCACAGGAAGAAGCCCCCGCAATTCCCTTATTTTGTAGGAGACAAATTCGCTTGTTCCACCCATGATTCCATGGCAAGTGAAGGCAAGGAACATTGCAGTTGAGACTCATAAATTCCTTATTTGTGCAGCTAAAAGGAAAAAAGAAAAACCCAATTGCAAATTCCATCTAAAATGAAAATTAGAAATAGTATTCCCAATGAAGTATGTGAAAATTCTTCTATTCGACGTTGCTGTTAGGAGTTTCCATTGTTAAAGGAGTCACGCTTCATATAATTTTTTAATATGACTCAAGTCTTTAGAATTTTTCCAAGTATGTATATTGGCTTACAAAATAACCCCATTGAAGACCTGGTAGTGTGAGGTAGCCGCTAGTCAGGATGGTCGATGGTCGGTCCGCCTTTTAAGTCTTTAATACATTTAGTGATTCAAGTTTCAAGAGTGACTCTCCAGCCAAAACACACACACATACACAGAGGGGAGTGGTTCAATATAATCTTAGGGATTCTCAAAATACATACAATAAAAGAAAGGGAAGAGAGCAACAAAGGAAACTATATATCGAGGACTGTTGCAGGGGAATCCAAATTACTTAATAATTTTTGGTTGGGAAGTCTAATTATACAGTACTTGCACTTTTGTTCATGTAGACACCAGACACCAGACACCAAAGGAAACTACTCATTAAATAGGTAAAAAGATCCCAATTCATTCTTAAGTTAACACAATACATCTCCAGGGGCAAGCAGACTTCCCAGAACCATAAAATTATCATCTTACTGGCTTACCACATCTCCCTTGTCTTTACAAATCCATATACTAACGATTCTTTAGCTCCAGAGGGTCCAAAATAATTGTCAGAAGTTGTATCATACTGTTTAGAACATACCAAAAATATGAAACCCTCAAGGTCTATGCAAAGACACCAATATGAAGTTATGCCAGTCTTCCTAACAACTCAGAAACACTATTGCAGCTTGAGTTTCTAGAGTAAAAAAATAAGGAGTCTGATCCATGATTTTCAAGCTGGTTCCCTTGTTGGATATCAACTTCTTTAAATCATTTACTAAGAAACATTGTTGCCACATGAGTTTCTAGAGCAAAACAATAGAGTGTTTGACCCATGTTCTCCAGGTTGGTTCCTTGGTTGAACAATTTTGTCAACTTCTTTGAATCATTTAGTCCACACAGATGGATGCACAATGACCGATTCTTTCCAAAATCTCAAAAGGTTCATCGCCAATTCTATCAGCTTCAAGTTTCTTAATTGTAAAATAAAAATTTACCATTTCCTCACGATGATAATGATAATGGATAACACCGTCGGACACCATTCCTTGGTATATAAAACAACAGTAATTCCAGGACTAATTCCCCTGTAGGCTGAATAAAATAAAGAGATTGGAATCAAAGTTATTAGCATGCAGCTAGTGATCTATAAACGGGATTTCCAACAATCTAAGCAAAAAGGTGCACATAAAAGCAGGCATCTCTACAAGATTTAGTCATGTAAGATACCATACAACTTGTTTTAAAGGAAAGAATCAGCAGTCTATATTGAGATTGTGTTCCAACCAAATTCAAGACGACGCGTGGAAGCAAGAAGCAAGGTTAATAACTTATACAATTTCAACACATACTATTGAAATGTATTTTGAATTATAAAAATCAGAAACAGGAAGGAACGGTAGTAGATTTCACACCCTCAAACATTATTCTAGAAAGTTTCGAACATAAATATTCCCCAATAAATGAATTAGCCATTGAGATAATGAAACAAATGGTTAGTAACTCATCCACAACCACCAAACAACTACTCTGGTAACACTGATGCCCATAAACCACACCCTCCCCTTCTTAATATCAGTTAGAACTTCTATCAAGTATAAAAATATCATTATCCCCAACATGTTCAACATACCCTTATAATTAAAGGTTTAAATTTTGCAAATTCAGTAATCAAAACTTTCCAAATACAACTCCGCCGCTTCCAACAACTCAATTTTGATCCCACTTGAGGCAGTAACGAATTAATTCCATCACCTTAATGTCAAGCTTCCAACGACCTCATTCAATTGAAAAGGCAAAGCATAAACAACTGTTAAACCTCAAACAATATCTACAATTCATCAAAACCCCAATATATACACCACACGAGTACACTCAGACTTTATCAACATAAATCAAACAAGAGCCTATAAGCATAGTACCTTGGGGGAATTGGTTCCGAGCCCAGGATCGGTTTGACTACCATTAAAACTCTCCTGATTGGCGTAATCTTCGTACGAGCAGAGAATGTCATCGGAGCCAAAATCGAACCCTTTCGAACCCGAATTGTTACGACCTGAAGATCCAGAAGCCATAATAGGAGATCGAAAATGTGATTCGTGGTTTGAGCGAGCGAGCGAGCGATCGATCGATCGTGATACAGATGGAAAAGACTAGGGTTCGCAGATGAATAAATGGAAGGCAAGGAGATTTCCTAAAGAGAGAAATATATATATATATAGAGAGAGAGAAACAAAAAATCCTTAGCTCTTTGAAAGAGGAAAGCTCTTGTCCCTGCAAGAGGAAAGTTGTTCTATATAATGCTGAATGTGCAAGAAACGCCTTTTTAATGAATTATATAAAGGCGAAAATGGTCCCGAAGTTACACGGTCGGATAAGGATTAGACCCGGCTCTCACTTTATTCTTGCTAAGATACCCTTAATTTTACTTTAATAAATAAATCCACACACTTTACAAAATTCTGAAAATTGTGTGTTACCCTCCAACTACTATACTATCATGAGTTATGTTCTATGAGTTCTAAAATTTTACTGAATTACTCCCTTTGTTATATATCATGCGCTAAATCTTGTTCGCTAAATAATCTTTTTTCGAACTTAATTCTTGTTTTATTTATTTATTTAACTATTTGTTTTATGCTTTAATAAAGCTTGAATACTTGTTAGTATTATGTTTAAAAATTTAGTTATTTGCATATATATATATATATTTTTTTTTATGATTTAAGGTTTTCAATAAATTCAGCAAGTTATTTGCAAAAAAGATTTTTTTTTTCAACAAAAGAAATATGTTGATAAAATTTTAAATGGTTCATTATAAATTGGCTACGGGGCATGATGACTTGACGTCATCCTCACCTTTCTCCGGTGATAAACCGGCAGTCGGATTTGAAACTCAACGATGGCAACTAAACACGAGGGTTGCGCTCGTTGCGGGACTTAACCCAACACCTTACGGCACAAGTTGACAACAGTCATGCACCACCTGTGTCCGCGTTCCCGAAGGCACCCCTCTTTCAAGAGGATTCGCGGCATGTCAAGCCCCGGTATGTAGACCAATTAATGCAATGCAAGTAAAAGTTCCTAGATTCATGAAGATATAGAACAACATATAAGTTTAGCTGGGGGATTTTCTTTGAACCCAGTTTTTAGGTATTTCTTTTTTGGCTATAATGAATAATTGTAAATATATATTCAGACTGGGCTGATTCAGTCATTTTATTCACTTTATTTTATGGCAAGATTACAGAAAGATTATTACTACTACACTTCAAGTCAAACAAAATATAAAAATCATCACTACAGGAATACAATCTTTGCTTCTAGGAGTATAGACAACTGAAACTGATGTGAAACTGCATAACAGAGAAGCCACTAAAACTAATTGGGTCTTGTTACCCAACTCACATGTAGTGGAAAACAACTTTTTTAAGTTAAATACGTTCTTAAGAAAATGAGATCAATGTATTCCAAAACCCAAAAAATATGAAAAACATTTGACATTTGGAACAGGAACGAACAAACTGTAAATATTTATCTAAATATAGTACCATACAACCATTAATATTCTCCACCGCATAAGTTTAAACTCAATATTTCTCCAAATTAAAAAAAAAAAATCCCCTCAAAACCTTGTGCTTGTGCTACATGAGTAGAGGATTGATAATAACATGGTAGGTATACAAAGTGAGCAAAATCTGGACTATGGCTCCGAGTGAACCAACGGCAAGCGCTCCGGTCAGACGGTTGCAGAAAGCGGGGACTAGGCCACAGATGGCTGTCCAGCCTACATGTGCATTCCCTTTTTTCATTATATAAAGGTCCTCACCCGCTAAGAAACACCCTGAAGCGATTACCAAAACCATAATCTGGTGGTACAAACAAATCATCCAAACCATTAATAAAAAAATATATATATATATATAACTACTATATACCTAATTATGCACTAACTAGGTAGAGTGGTCAGGTAATTAATGGATAGAAGAAAGAGAGATAAATGGTTATAATTACCATATCCAAGACCACAATTAATCGCCATTGGTTACTACCAGAGGGAAGGAACAGAACAAGTAAGTTATAACCAGCTGCTATGTAGTTTACAATGACAAAGTACCTACATTATATATAAAGCAGCTATCAATCAGTGAAACACACGAGAGAAGACAATTTGGCATATATATATATATATATATATATATATATTAATTAATATATGAAATCAAAATGCATGGTAGATGAAGCACACACGTACTTCAGAACTGGCCAATTGCTGATCTTTGCTTCGAAGGTGAAAGTGATCATGTCAACCGATTTATGGCTTGTACCCATTACAATAGCTGCTATAAGAGTTGCGAGCATGACTAGGATTCTTATCACATAGCTGAACACTGTTTTGGCCATCTCTATGAATAACTTGCATATATAGCACACATTAATTAATTAATTAATTAAGAAACATAAGTATTGATTAGGCAAGTATAGGATTCAATAATGCACTTGTCTAAAATTTTTTATTTATTTATTTTTAAAATTTTCTCCCTTAATAAGGGATGCAGACTATGTTTACAATTAGCCATTGAAGATCACCGTTCAATTTTTCTTGATTTAAGTATTTCTCAATAAAATAAATGGAGTTAATTAAACACAAAAAGATTGCTTTATATATCTATTCAAAAAATTAATTGGACATGAATTGAGAACTATAATCATAGTTATGATCATGGTATACATGTGGCGCAGTGTTAATATTCTACAAATTGATTTGCTCCATCTTATTCTGAATGTTTTGAATAAGTGATTTTGGTAAACAAAGTGGGCATAATTATGCAGATACATGAAAAACTGAGATTATTTATATGCACTGGAAGTTTAAAAAAAAGTCTATTGAAACATAGACTAAGATCTACTTATATATGTTGAAAACAAAAAATAGTCCTAAGTACAGATAAAAATAAAGCATTCTTATTCATAAGAAAGATATATATTAAATATACAAGTTTAAACACAAAAATGAGATTGAAAATTACTCACCTTTTGTATATATATTTGATCTTGACTTGTAATAAGAACACACAAAGACAAAGAAAGAAAAAATGGCTGATGAGGATCTCAAACCTTTGTGTTAAAAGAGAGAGATCGAAGTACTCATCATTTAATAGTTATTTGTGAGTTATTAATTTATAGGCTGCTTAAATTTTATATAAGGAAATAAATTATGTAAAGAAAATTGCTATTTGCATTACATTAATTTTCTTTTCCTTTTTTTTTTACATGAGAATGTGTCTTGAAAGAGAAGTTTACATGCTTATTGAGAGAATCTTTGAGTTTCTATATATAATGATTTAATTTCCAGATTAAGATTGAGAGAAGTGTTGGGGTTTAGGGATGATACCGAAAATCTGAAATAAACAAGATAGGCTTGGATTTATCATGCACATGATTTGGCTTGGATATATCATGGAGTTCGATCTGGAGGAACATGCAGTGCTTGCTTATTCTACCGATAGTTTTTTGAGAGAAAAATAATTGTGAAGAGTGTGATTTGAACCCAAAAACACGCCCTTACGGACCAGATCCTTAATCTGGCGCCTTAGATCAACTCGGCCATCCCCACATCACAGTGACAGCCTTTTCCAAATTATGACCATCAGTAAATTTGGTGCACCAGTGGATTTTGGGATGCTTAGGTTGTACCTAAAGCGCGGAGAAGCAATCTGCAGCTACCTCTGTTGTTTTGATGTAAGGTAAAGTATTTTCTTTTCAATCGGGTGCGGCGAAGTTTTAATATTTTTTTTACATAAATATTTTACAACAACTAAACACTAGAAAACATAAAAAAAACATTTTACGCAGAGTCTTCACCTTCTACCTCGAAAAGTGAGGTCGCCATAGGTTAGTTGAAATGTAATAGATTGTGGGAAGACGAATTATATGTGCATTATTAACCACTCGGATTGATGTATTTCAGTTAAAAGGCCTGAAGTAGCAAAGCCTTGGGTAAAAATAGCACTCGGTGCGGTTATTGCGCTTAAATGATTTTTCTTTTTTTTTTGAAATACGGAACTATGTGAATAATAGAGAAACTCCATGAAAGAAAAATTAATGATTCATATAAATCACTTAACGGGAAAATGCCCCGAATAAATCCACCGAGTGACTAATAATCCCCTTATACAGAAAAGGGTGCTAATTGCTAATTGTTAATTTTGATATAAAATCAATATATATGTATTGTAATCGGATTATAAAACGCCCAAAATGTTAACCTAACTAACATAGGAAGACGAGAAAATTTATATAGGAAAAGAAATTATGCATGGAAAATTAATAGGCAATATATTTGTTTTTGTTTTGTTTTGTTTTTTTTATTTTTATTTTTAATAAGAGAATATGTTGTAAAAGAAAGTTTACATTTTTATTTGTCAAATGATACAATCTTTGATTTTTTCCAATTTTAAAGATTAATTTCTGTAATTAGGTTAAGATTGAGAGAGATGGTGTTGCGCTTTGGGGGAAAATCTATGCTCTAACCTTAGAGCCGGTTTGGGATTACTTCTGTACTGTTTAAAAATATTTTTGTTTTAAAAAATTATGTTTAGATGTGTTATGTAACCATTAGAAGGCCTTTTAATGGTTACCAAATTTAATTTAGTAGAACGTTTGAGTGAAGCTAAAATTTGAAACTTGTCAAATTATTGAATATTTTAGATAACTTTTTTTCATTAGACCATTTTTTATTTTTTATTTTTTATAAAGACAATTACACTCATTACTTAATAAAATTGATATTATCAAATATGATAACATTATAGTAAAAGATATTATTGTAAAATTAACAATAGAAGTGTTTTAAAAAAATTGTTACCAAATACATTAAAAAATAATTAGTTGTGAAAAGTACTTATTATATAATATGTAACCAAACACCTAACATATTTGCACTCTCAGAGTTAATGTGATCCAATCACAAATACACATATATATTCTTTAATTACAAAATTTTTAAAAATAATAAATAAGAAAAATGAACTCATTAGCTTCCATTCTTTTTTCTCTTCAACTTTTTAAATTAATAATTAAAGGCGATACTAGAGAGTAGTAGTTTTTGTTTTTGTTTTTGTCTTTCTTTTTTTTTTTTTTTTTTTTTTTTTTTGGATGAATCACCTAGAGAGTAGTTATTATTCACTAGTACACAGGTAAGTATTATTCTTAAAATTCTATCACTCACTTTGTTCATTTATTTTGAGTGTGAATATAAATGTAATTGGTCCTGAATAATTCGTATTTCAGGAGAGGACATTGGATTATTTAAGTTGAATGATTAAACTTCAGCTAATGCCTTCTAAGCCCTATCTCAATCAACTACAAGGCAAATCCTAAATTACCTTATCAACAAGCCAATGCTTAAATTAATTAATTTAGGTTGCTCAATACTCACAATTAATCAAGTTTAAGGTTTTTACCTTGAACCAACTGAGCAATAGCTCAGTTCGTACAAATTTGACCTCCTCTTTTTTAAGGGTTCACATTTTAATAGAAGAATGTGTGTGAGCTTGCTTTACTATTTTTAAAACTGAAAAAACAAAGGCTTTTACCTTTGAGATATCACGTATGCACATGTGACGTACATTTCATCAGCCGTTATGCACCTACATATTTTCATCGGTATGCTCTGTTGTTGCTATACATAATAATTAGATCATACAATAGTGTCCAAAGAATTACTTGCTGAAGGCCTAAAAAGGTGACAGGACCTGATTAAAAAAAATTCCCTTCATTTCAGTCCATGTATAGGAAAAATAAAATAACATTTAGATTTAGTTTGAAAGAGATCTCAGAGGTCTTGAATCGGCTAATAGCCCAATATTAAGCTGCAAGTAATCTTGGTACGTGTTTTGAATTAATCAGCAATACAAGCTAATAATCTCAATATTAATTCTTTCTATGCCATAAAAAAAGCTAGCGTGCATAATAAAATTGACTTGTGAATATGCTTAAATGCTTCTACACAAGCAGAGGATTTAGGACACTGTGGATGGAATAGAGAAGAAGCAGCATATAGATTATAACTCCGATGAAGCCAGCGATCATAGCTCCGGCTACTTGGTTGCAGTACTTGTGGACTTGACCACAAATTGGTAGCCAACCTGCATGTGAATTTCCTTTCTTGCCCACATAAGCAACTGCCAAGGCTGACGATACACTTGATGTGAGCAACATTGTCATAACCTAGTCCCAAAAAAATGAGATAGTATATCTTAATTAAAGAATTAATTAAGGGGTGCTAATACAGATCATGAAATGCTTCAAGAATTACCAAATCCAGGGCAACAACAAGTCTCCGGAGCTGACTCTCGGAAGGAAGAAAAAGGACTAGGAAGCTGTACACGCTTCCAATAACATTTGCAATCAGAAAGTACCTGTAACAGAGAAGAGAGAAGAAAAAGATAATGATTGAAATTAATAGTCATACCAATGGCGAGAAATTAAATACACCTGTGAAGGTGGCCGGAGAGCTAGCTTACTTGAAGGCCGGTGTGTGGCTGAACTTTGCTTCCAAAGACACAGTTAAGAAGCTAGTTTTCTGATGACTAGTAGCCATGACAATGGCTGCCGAAAGGGTTGCGCCAAAAGCTAGAAGCCTCAGCACAAGAATGCAAATTTTCTTGGTTTTGGCCATTGAGAGGACTGGAGAGCTACAAAATTACAAAGAATTTTGAGGGATGAAGAAATTGGGTTCTCAAGGAATGTTGAAGTTTAATGGTTGCTTGGGAAGAAAAACCTAGGATGGTACGCAGTGTTAGGAGGGCAGATAAGAGATGGTGGACTTGAATTCATACCTATTCGCACCTATTTGTACATTTGTTAGTTGAAATTCTCAACCGCTTTCACCACCCGTCCAGTAATGATTTTTTCATTTTTTTCCAGCTATGTGGACTTTAAAGTGCATTGACTGTGACCTTAAATATTTGCTTATATATAGAGTAATACATTTGATTTGATTAATCTAAACTAGAGTAATTTTTAACATACATCTTTTTGAGCAAGCATATGATTGGACCCACAAAATTATGTGAGGGGTGTGGCACATTTTTAACAAGATTTTTAATGAAAAAATTTAAATACTCTGTTTATAGAGATGATATGGTATCACGTCGTAATTATATATTACCTCATTATAACAACAGAAGAATTTAAGTTTTTCTAAATAATGATGAGATTTTTATGTAATTTTAGTGGGATAATTTTAAAATTGTATGAGTATATAACTCAAAAATAAAAAAAATAGGTATATAACACCAAATATATATAGATATATATTACGTATACATTTACTTACAATAATAAAAAATAAAAAATCAATTGATAATATGAAAAACATGTCTGATAGTGCTTTTATTATGAGTTCACATCTCCATTAATTCTTTCAAATGGCAGGATACAAAAAATGAAAGAACAAACTAACGCGAAAGTGTCATCATCATCATTTTTTATTTTTTTTCATATGCTTTACTTATGGCTTGTTATCAATTTTCAAATTTCACATTCATATGAAATTTGTTTTGAAATGGAAGGCTTTTGTTTTTAGGATGGGGTTGTAGAGCGCCCAGTTCAAATGGGCATGTCTGTGTTTTAGTTCCCTCTCACCCTCGTTTGTCAGAAATAATAATACTAATAATAATAATAATAATAATACTAATAATAATAATAATAATTCGTTTAAATTTTGAATTTCAACACTAGAGTTTTTTTTTTTTGGGCAATGGTTAGTGAGTTAATAGTCAGTGGGGGATAGGGGGATTCAAACCTTAGCGCATAGGGTGGGGGCACTAAAGATCTGATCATTTACCACTTGCACTTGAATTAGTGTAAGCGCGGTAAGAAGCCTTATTTAAATTTCTCAAAACTGGTAATTTGGGGTGATTATTGGTATCTTAAAGTTACAAGGGAGGCACAATTTCATTTGAAATTTGAATTTGAACCATTGAGTTAGTGTAAGCATGATAAGGAGCGTGATTTAATTTCTCAAAATTGGTAATTTATAAAAATGATTAATATAAGTAAGCAGGCACAATTTCATTTGAAATTTGAATTTTAGTCGTTGATTTAGTGTAACTGTGTAAGCACGCTAGGTTAGGAGACTGATTTAAATTGGAAAAATTAAATTTTGGTGGCCAAAAAATTGCTCAAAAAAACGTAGGAAAAATTATATTTTGGTGATTAAAATTAAACATAATTGCTCTATAGTGACCTTAAAGTCAAAAAAAAAGATGCGTAGTGATCAATGTTGAAACTTAATTAATATTAAGTGACCATTTAAGGATAATTTGGTAAAAACATTTAAATATTAGATAACCATTTTAAAAATAAATTTTAAATAACAAAATTGCCATCCAATACAAATAATAACTCATTAAATTCATCTCCCACTCTCTCTCTATCATCCAACGTTATCCTTTTTCCTTTTTAGTTTCCAATTTACCAATTTAAAAAATTTTTTCCTTTTTAGTTTCCAATTTACCAATTTAAAAAATTAGAATTCCTTTATGAACATTCTCTTTTCCAAGACTCCCCCACCATAGTCGCAAAACATAATATTTACAGTGACAAATCAAGCAAAGAAGTTCCATCCCAAAATGTTCTTTATATAATATTTATAGAGGCGGTCCTTCTCACTTTGTTGCTTTAATATATTATCTTTTATCTGAATGATTCTAAGGTCGGGGCTACTGGATGTGGTTTCTTTGTTAATTAATTTAAGTAAGTATTTATTTACCTTAATGTATATGATAAGTTTGTCCACTTATACAATAATATATTATAAAAATGTTATTTAGGTAATAAACTATTAAATTGTCACTTATTAGTAATTAAGTTTTAGATTCGGTAACTATTCACTTTTTTTTGACTTTATGGTCACTTTACATCAAATATGTTTAATTTTGGTCACCAAAATATAATTTTTCCTCCAAAGTATCTACAAAGTCAAGAAAATAAAGTCAAGAAAATATTAATAATCATCAATTTTAAAACTTAATTGATAAGAAATGACCGAGAGTAGTTAATTTGATCAAAATATTTACTTATTTATTACACATTCTAAAAATAATTTTTAGATGGTAAAATTGCCCTTGTATTCATGCTTCTACTTTCCTAAAAAATATAAGGGAAGCCTTGAAGAGCTTTCGAGCTGTAACTTAGCCAACTGGGTCGTGGTTATTGGGAATAAAGAAAGGGCATTTACTACCATGTATGCATTCCATTTTCATGATGCTTCTGGTTTTTCATTTTTAGTTTGCAAACTGATTTTTTTGTATAAAATATACATTGTCATTTATTATGTGTAAATTTTTTTCATCTATAGCAGTCTGTTAACCTACATTGCCACATCACCAATGTGTAAAAAGGTTGTGTATTTACATTGCCAAATCAACATATTTCATTTTTCATCCTTCTTTTTCATTCCATTAAAGAATCAACCATATATTAGGTAAGTTTGTAAAAATTATGTGGATTCTAACATGACACATGGTTGATTGTTATTGGAAAATATATTTTTACACAAAAGGTATAAAATAATCGTTGGAGTTAAAATTAAATTATTTTATTTTATTTTATTATTTTATTTTATTATTATTATTTTTTTTTGTGTAAATCCATCATTAGATTTACACAAAAAAAAAAAAATATACACAACAGTTGGAGATGCTCTTATTAATTAAAAAATTAAGTTTATTTAATAATTTTATCTCTTAGAATTAGGATTTCTTTAAACCTATTTTTTTTTTCAACGTTTTTCACCATAATTGAAAAACATATTAAGTACATAACCAAAAGTAAATACAAATATTAGTCATTTATATTCAATAACACACACACACACACACTTGAAGTTTATATGTATTAATAACACCGACTTGTGCCTTTCTAAACTCTATTTCTTTCTCTATATACACAGATAAATTTATCTAATAAAAAAATAATGTTTTATAAGAAGGATATTTAAATAATAAATAACTATTCATCTTTTATCGATTTTAAAATTACTATATAACAATTTTGTTTGAATTTGTTTCTAAAATCTAAATTTTCCATTTAAATTTATCAAAATTGATAATTTGAAAGTGATTATTGGTACATGAAAGTAATAGTGAGACAGTTCATTTGAAATTGGTAATTTAGGAGTGATTATATATTGGTGGTATCTGAAAGTACTAGAGGCACACTTCGTTTGAAATTTGTATTACAGCTGTTGAATTAGTATAAGAAGCCGGATTTAAATTTCTCAAAATTGGTAATTTGAAGGTGAAAAAAGAAAGAAAAAAAAAGGAATCTGCAATCTGGTATGCTTCTGACCACGGCTGGCGAGGGACTTTAAAATCACAGTTTGACCCTTGACCCATACAATCAAAACTTAATCCAATCAGATTGCACTGTGAGCTAATTAAGGTCCGCACCAGTAACTTGATCACCATTCACACAAAGCGCGAGAGTCCAACGGTCGACTTAATATTTCACCCGAGTACGTCTCCATTAAACCACCCACCCTCCCAAATTTCCTCCCAGTCACTCAAAAAAATATTTCAGAAGCGAAACTCTGCTCTCTCTCTCTCTGTGAGTGTGTGTGAATAGATAGAGGATAGAGAGAAATGGTGGTTGCTAAGGTCACATATGAAGAGTTGCGTCGTCAAATAATGGAGGAGAAAAAGAAAAGGTTCGAAGAGTTCCATCTTCCCCAGCTCTCTTCAGCTCTCAAGAACTCTTCTCCTAAACCCTCTCCGGTTTTCACCTCTCTCTCTTCCTCTATGTTATACACACACAAAAACACACACACGTACACAAACAAAGAAGTTCTAAACTAGTATGAACTTACTCTGCTTTTTTGTACGTTCCATAGATGAAGCAGTCGAAACCTCGCACAATTCGAAAAGAAGTTGCAGTGATGGTAAGAAGGTCGAATCGTGTCGCAAATAAGCCTGCCCCTGATTACAAAGAAGCCGTAAGCTATTTTCTCACTTTTTTTTTCCCCAATTAGTCCTCTTTACTCTCTCAAAAATTAATCATTTTGACTTGGAATATTATTGACAGGCCACTTTTGAGCGTTTCGAGTATCGTGGAAGGTAATTTGTTCTAAATATTTAGTGTTTATTTGATCAGAATTGTTGGCGTTTTGTACATTGTATATCTAATACTTTATATATAGGGAAAATTACATATAAATGGAATTAAAGTTCCATATTTACTTAGAGGCTGAGTCAAAGTTTCATATTTCTCTAAAATGGATTGCTGAGGTGGCACATGGTTTTTTACTGTTTAGAAATTGTGATGCCTAAAATACCCTTCCGCGAAGGTACTACTTTTTCTTCAAAGGTACTACTTTTTTGAACTGAAGGTACTACTTTTTGATATTCAGGTACCATGTTTTTTAAACACTCGCGAAGGTACTACTTTTTCTCCGAAGGTACTACTTTTTTGAACTGAAGGTACTACTTTTTTGAACTGAAGGTACTACTTTTTTATTAGGGAAGGGCATTTTAGGCATCACAAATTTTTAAACAGTAAAAAATCATGTGCCACCTCAGTAATCCATTTTAGAAAAATATGGAACTTTGACTCCATCTCTAAGTAAATATGAAACTTTGACTCCATTTATATGTAATTTTCCCTTATATATATATATAAACACTCTGTATGGTATAGAATATGTAAGAGAAGTGGACCACGGAGGAGGGACTTGTCGAATCGGGTATATGCTTCTGATGCAGCTAGAAGAGCTGGAATCGAGTCTAGGAGACAATTATCCTACCCTTTTGAAGCCAATGCTACCTTCACATGTCACGGGTGGGTTCTGGCTGGTAAGGGAATTGATTTGATTTTTTTATTTTTTTTTAAGTTAATGTGTATGGTATACGAATCCAGTCTGAAAATTTGATCCTGCAACTAATTTGTATAATAGTTTGTCGGTTTAGGGTTAGTGATCATATGAATTGACTAATGCTTATATGGTACTTCTGTCTAGTGATGCTACAAGCTAGTTTGTATTTTTTGAACTCTTCTTTCTATATTATGATACGATGTGATTACATATAAATGTGTCTCTATACCTCTTAAGACGAGTAATAATTGGTTTGTGTACATGTTTGACAAACAGGGCATTCCAGTTTATTTCTGTAAGAAATACCTTCCAAGGCGCGATGAAACTGTTACATTGGTAGATGAAGAGGGAGAAGAGTACCCAGTAGTCTACTTGGCCCGGAAAACAGGACTTGGTGGTGGATGGAAAGGTTTTGCGGTTGATCATGAGCTGGTGGATGGGGATGCAGTGGTGTTTCAATTAATTCGGCCTACTGTACTTAAGGTGCAAATTTAGCACTTATTTGGGACTTGAGAGTTTTGAAGTTCATAATCCCTCTTTTTCAAACTAGATATAGGCTCAATGGATTACATCACCACCTACCAATATCTATAATTTATGTATTCAATAAGCATTTTTTTATATAATATGAATTGTATGCCACACTTAATTCTGTGCAATACCATCTGTGATCATTTTCTTTTTGTTTAACCTAAATCTTCTCAGGCTTTCTGATGAGAAATAGGTTGATGTAACTGACAATTTTTTAATATCAGATGGTTTGGCACAAACATGTCATATTAATTCGACTTCTCTTTCCAGGTGTACATTGTAAGGGCGAACAGTTCTGAAGAAGGTAACGGCGTCTAACCCTCCGATTTTTAGCTATTGGGGCCATTTGTTCTAATGCAGGTAACTATGTCTGACTCTATTCAACTGCTTGTACCATTTCATTGCTTCCTGAGTTTCATTCTTCTGTTCATTAGCAGCAGCACAATGTGCTGTCTTCTCATCCTATTAGCTTTGCAGTGAAATTGTCAATTGACACCTTTACTGAAATATTATTCTATGTAGAACTTAACAATGAAAATAGTCAGGACCTGGTCTGGTACTGAAAAGAGGTTGCTTGAAGGATGAGATTTTAAGTTCAGATCCTGCTGGGATTGGTTTGCACTTTTTAACTTGATCTCAGCTGCGCACATGCACGATCAATTGCCATCCATTAATGGCTGTAGTGTTTTATCATTGTTATCATAACCTTAGCTTTTATTGAATACATCATAAAAAAAATTGTATGGTTTTTCATTACAATACATTACGTTTTGGCAACCGGACATGGTTTACTGCCTGCTATGTGTCCCAACTATATGTCAAGGAAGAAATGCAGGTGCCATGTGATGGGACACATAGAAAGCTAGTAGGACATACAGATTCATATAAATCCATATGGAGACTACTGTAACAATTAATTGTTACTTCTCATTCCACTCCTACATCACATTTATGTTCATATAAAGTATGCATCCTTGTTCTCACTATAATAACGTCACACTGTGTTGGCTTATGGGCTCTTCTACATAATCTTTACAATATATAAGGCGTCTTGTAGTTATTTGATTTTCTTTTTTTACATGATTAACTAGTTCATCATTAGTATGAAGCATTCTAATTTTCCTGCAGGTGAAAAAGAAGTGCAGTACGCTGTTGTTGATCATGCTGTGAATTTTGTTCAATGGAAGTCCAAAATGTCAACTACTGAACTAGGTAAGCCTTCCCATAAACAATGCACCAATGGCCCATCTTGTTTTGTATTGGATGAAAATGGATTATATTTTTGGTTTGTCTGAATGGTCCATTATATTATTCTGTAAAAACAATAATTATTAGAAACTTGTAAATTCTTATCACATGTATTCAATCTGTGTGTATTGATGTTGGTGGACTGAGGAGGAGGGTAGGCTGTTGATAGGAACGGTGTTTCTGGGTAGCTAGTGTTGCAAGCCCAAAATGCAACATGCTCCGACCTCTGATCTCTATATGAAGGCTAAAACTTACATAAGAACTTTTTTTTTTTTGTATGACATGAATTTTTCATCGTAATTGGAGGTGAATATCATACCTTTCCTAAGAACTCATAGCACAGAATTAGTTTGATGTTAGGGGATGTAGAGCACTAAGCTACAAGGCTTTGTAATTTGATCTATATAGTCTGTCTAATAAGGAGATCAAAATCATTATAAGTAGATTCACAAGGTCATTAATGTCTAATTATATCAATTCAAAGTTAAGCTTGATTGTGTTCGTAATTGGCATCACACACACACTGACACACACAATCCTTTACCATTTTTTTTTGGTGTAGTGATTATTTGTGTCAAAATTGATTCAATTGACAATGTTTACACCACTTCCATTGCAGACTTGCAGTGCTGTGATAAAGATTGCCACCCTACCTGTCAAATTGCAATGTCTTATCTATCAACTGTTGTGATGACTGTTTAGTGATTTGAAGCCAATCATTTTTTGTAATAATCATTGAGTAATTTGTAAATGATGTTCTTCTTTCGCAATTAAATCGCATGTGATGATAATCCGTGTCTATAAGACAAACTGAAAATATTTGGGATAAGAATCCTATTGAAACTCTTTCATGTTCAAAATTCTAAAGTCTTGAACAATTTCAATCCAACCAAAATTCTAGCACAAGAGAAGCCTATACCCTCGTTAATGGGTTACAACTCTTTGTAGCTTCTTTGTCTTCTAAGCAATATACTCTCATCCATGGCTTCTCTTGAAGCTTTAGCCATGGCAGGTGTAGATTGCTTAGATTGCAATATTGATGTTGAAGAATGGAAGCGAAAGTCCATGTTTGAAACACCGGTGTGCTTACTGGCGGATCAGACTAATAAAAGTTCTGTTAATAAACAGAATAAGAAAAGTACGTTTACCACACCCGTGTACTTCCTGCCAGAACAGAATAAGAAATCAACTACAAGTTATGTTAGTTCCGTTGATGATGATGATAATAATAATAATGAAGTCGCAGCCACCACCGATCTATGATTAATAAAAGAGCAGATTCAAGAAAGGCTAAAGGGGATATAGATGAAGAGTGCTTAGTAGGATATGACAAGAATGTTGACATATACACTAACTGGAATACTTCTCAACTGCAGGATGCTTTTTACATTCAATTTTTTCTTCTCTTTAAAATTCATTTTTAATCAGAGTCACTCTCTTATCCCTTTTGTGAATGGAAAAGAATAAGAATCTATAAAAACGTTTCGTTATTTATTTTACTTTGTGATTTTACTGTCCCTCTTTTTGCCAACAAGTTTTTCCGCTCTACAATTGCATAATTTTGGGTGCTAAAATTAACTTGGGTAATATACACTATCCCACAAGTCACAACTCAGACTTACATTAGATGTGAAAGTAAAATATAGATGAAGAGAGTATCATTGACAAAAGAGCAAAATAATATGAAAATTTAAACAAATTTGACTGTTCTTTTTCACATCAATATAGTAGAAGCATACATATATATAGGTCCTAGTTCCAATCATTTCCTGCTTAGATAACAAATTATATCAACCCTAAATCTCTTTAGTACTTAATCCTTCTCCTTCTGTAACTTTAAAGGAATTAAGATCATTAAGCAAGTTTCGAAGAAGCATTCCCATTTTATCAGCAACTTGCAGTTCGGTTTCAGCTAATTTCTTAATACGGTCCAACTGCTCAAGACATCTCATACTCTTGAAAACATCTTCTGCTCTGTTCACTTCAGCGGTAGAAGTCTTGTTTAATTCCTTGCTGATCCATTGATAAAAAGTGCAATGCTGCAGGATTTGAAATATTAATACGACATTAACCATATTGTAAAAATGAAAATTTAAACAAATTTAACAGTAATTTATATGAATCATGGTCACATACCAGAGCACATTGATCAGGGTGTATCTGTTCTGGAGCACATTCAGGTTCATGGCCCTTATGTTCAGATTCAATAACAAGCTCCGTACCAATACTAGTTTCAGCACTTGGAGAATCCAAATTTTTATCTTCATTTTCCTCAGAAACTAAACCAATAGTAGCTGAAACATTCTCATATGAAGCTTCTAAAACATATTCAGCTTCATTCAATTCCGACACAGTCTCAAAATCTTTCAACCCTGAACTAACCACGTCTCCAATTACTAACCCAACATCATTGGTTTCCTCATCGTTTTCACTTGAAGCTTTTAAAACATCTACTGCTTCATTAAACTCTGCTACAATCTCACATGGTTCATCCATAATGTCAAGTAGCAATAATGGCAGCAATTTCTCCTCATTTTCCTTCAACCCTGAAATAACCACATCTTCAATAACACCGTCAACATTGGTTACATCAGCTGCAACTCTATTATCCAAATCACCAACAACAGTAACATCCGCAACAGAATTTGGTTCAACCAAGATATTCTCATTTACAGATTGCTGCATTTCCTCATCATTATCTTTCAACCCAAACACAACCACATCTTCAGTTACTTTATAATCAACGCTAACCCCATCAGACAAAGTGACATCAAGCTTAGCTAAATCATCCACAAGTAGAGTATCACTTGCTGGATGTGGTTCGTCAGACAAAGTCACAACAAGATTAGCTAAACCATCCACAAGTAAAGTATCCATTGCTGGATGTGGTTCTTCCAAAATGTTCACTTGTAGTGAAGTAAACAGTTGTTCAATATTTTCCTCTGCCACATTTTCAGTCACAAAAACATCTATATCACTCACCTCCTCAGATAGATCAACAATTGGTTTAGCCAGTTCAACAACAATCTGGTTTTTCATAACCGAATGTGGTTCTTCCAAAACATTCTCATGCTCAATTTTCTCCTCGTTTTCCTTCTCCAAAGAAGCAACATCTTTAGCCAAAGTGATATTACTCACCTCCTCAGATAAAAGACCAATAGGTTTAGCCAGTTCAACAACAATCGGGTTTTCCATTACTGAATGTGGTTCATCCAAAATATTCTCATGCACAATTTTCTCCTCATTTTCCTTCGACTCCAATTCATCAACATCTTTATCCAAAGTGACAACTGGTTTAGCCAAATCATCAACAGCAATATCTTCCGAAACCAAAACATTAGCATCATCAATTGCAGGAGAGCCAGTAACACAACTCAATCCTAATAAAGGAAAGAACTCACACAATTACAGATGCCCATTATTTATAATGTAGACACAATAGAAATAAAAAAATCTAAATAAAAAAAAAAAAGTTCACAATAAATAAATATCAAATACACAATGTAAGTGCCACTATTTCTCCTACATATCTTAAAACAAAAGAACTTACTTTCATTTTATCAAACTTAAGTGAGAAAATTCTCTACATATTGCCTGCGATTTGTAAAAGAAAGTGATGAAATACTGACCTTTAGAATCAGAAGAACTTTTGATGTCGGCTTCTCTTTGCTGCCTTCTCTTGGCAGCTCTCCTCTTCTTTGCACCACTTGGCATGATTCCAATTTTGAGTGAAAAGGGAGAATGTAGATGGGGTTATTTATAATGGATAGATGGATGAGAGAGTCTATTGGAATTCCTCAAGAAAATTAATATATCAGTTAATTAGAATGCATGCGTGGAATGAATTCCAAACAAGAGTGAGGTGGGGAATTGGAAAAGGAATAACTCGGGGCTCTTAAGTAAATGGATTTGCAATAGAAGGTGAATGGTTAGGGACTTTCTGATGCATTTACCATGGGCATTTTTGTAATTCTCTCTTCCTGGTTCAGTAAAGATGACAATGTTTATGTAAAATACCTAATGGACCAAGCAATGGGAACTCAAGTAATCTAATAGAGATTAAAGAGAGGATATCACGTTTAACTGGTCTAAACTTTTGGTTTTTGTACAACTACTCATTGTGAGGTCTTGAGTCTTGACAAACCAAATAATAATAATAATAATAATACGCCCACAAAATTAACTGATTTTCCGTTCACTATTCTAGTTTTTTAAATCAGTATTTATGTTGTAATTTTCTAAGTACAATATACTTGTATTAAATCATTGACCTCCACATTAATCCACCAGTTCACATTTTGTGTATTTGTTACGATAAACCTTGAACAACAAATAGTAAGCAAATACTGTAGCATACTCTTTTTAAAATGAATGTTATCATACAAAATTTATGTGGGAAGGAATGCAATTAACTACTTGAAAAAAAGGGGAAAAAAAAAATCTTTAAGCTCCATTTGTTTTGACGTAAATATATATATATTTTTTAAATATTTTTTTCAAGTAAAATATTTTTTTATTTTTACTCTTTCCTTGTTTGACAAATATTAATGTCATAGTTGATTAAGGTTGAATCTAATGGTCATGATATGTAAAATAACTTGTTGAAAATTAATGTATAAATTATTTTTGTTAAATTTTAATATTTTTTTTCTTCATAAATATTTTACGACAATCAAATACCCAAAAAAATATTTTTACATCTAAACAAACAAACGGAACCTTAAAATTAATAATTTTTTTTTTTTTTATTTTAGACACTTTACTTGCTCCCAAACGACATCGTTTAAGGTCATCGTTTGCACCGCAGCAAAGCGCTTTGAAAAGGTATTTTCGAAAAAGGTATTGATTTTAAGAGGGTTTAGGCTTTTTTCCATCTACCTTTGTCTCCAAAATTTTCCAATTGAAAAAAACTGAAAGACAATTTTCTTATCAACGAACCAAACAAGTGAAAATGGCAATCTCTTTCTCTCTCACCAAAACCCTAAAAAATATTCCAACGAAAACCCCAATCTTCAGCGTTCGTAATACTCATTCCCATACCCACCTCAAGTTCACCCCCAATCTCAAACCTCCACCACTCTCTCGTCTCTTTACCACCTGTAAAACCAAACCCAATCTCCAATTTAAACCCCGACAGAACCCAGTCCGATCACTCTTCACCGGCATCGTCGAAGAAATGGGTGAAATCAAGGAACTGGGTGTCGCCGACGACGGCGGATTCACCATGAAAATCCACGCAAAAACCGTTCTTGAAGACGTCAATCTCGGCGACAGCATCGCCGTTAACGGAACATGCCTCACAGTCACGCAATTTGACACCCAATTGTCCCATTTCACCATCGGCTTATCTCCCGAAACCCTAAGAAAAACGTCGCTAATTGAGCTCCTGCCAGGGTCGTTGGTCAATTTAGAGAGAGCATTGAAGCCTTCGACGCGAATGGGTGGTCATTTTGTGCAGGGACATGTTGATGGGACTGGTGAGATTGTGGAGGCAGAGCCAGAAGGGGATTCATTGTGGGTAAAGGTTAAAACGTCGTCGGATTTGTTGAAGTATATCGTTCCGAAGGGGTTTATAGCTGTGGATGGGACTAGTTTGACTGTGGTGAAGGTGTTTGATGAAGAGGAATGTTTCAATTTTATGTTGGTGGCTTACACTCAACAGAAGGTGGTGATTCCATTGAAGAAAGTTGGGCAGAAGGTGAATCTGGAGGTGGATATACTTGGCAAGTATGTGGAGAGACTTCTCAGTAGTGGGTTTGTCAATGCTATCAAATCTTCATGATCTGAGGTACAAAGAATGTGGTTTAATATTTGTGTCCTTCTCAGAATTGATGTATTTCTATTTGATGTATTTTGTGTGGTTCTCTTGCTACCCTTGTCCATTTTTGATAATCTTATTTTGAATGTCTCTTTCTTCAAATTATGGCTACACTCGAACCAATTAATATAAAAATGGAAAATTGGTAATTGCATTTCTTTGATGTTTGCAGCCTTGAATTAGTTAGCCTTCACCCAAACCGAAGAAAATAATTAAAAGAATGAAAAAGAACAAGGAAATGTATTCCTCTCATATTCCTCTTTTGGAGGTTGCACTCATTTCTGATTTTTTATAGTTAATTCTGAAAGGAATTGTTGCTTTATATTAAATTTAGAATTCACTTCCTCGCTAAATTTTTTTTTTTTTTTTCTCTTAGTAACGGTTCTTTTGTTTTGCTTTATATTATTCATCTTGCTGGCCTAAGATTAAAATCGCAAACAATATAAGTATGAAGTTATTAAGTTTGTAGGGTTTCACTTATTTCTAGTAGTAAACTAACTTATGAAGGGTTTTGCTGATATATAAAGGGTCACGAGCAATTTAACACCCCTGTAGTATGCATATAGGACATATAACCCCCTATAGGTTCTGAAAACTCCCTAATGCTCACTCCTGAATTCAATCTGGAACTAAAGAAAGGGTGGTCATAGATCAGATTGTGCCTTTTGCTCCTACTGAACTAGCCAGGCCTTATCTGCTGGGAAGTCTTGGACATCTCAGGGATGAGTTTCAACTTTCAGCAAGACTTGTTTGTTTTGTTTAACACTCAGTGATGTATGTTTTATTTTATTTTGACCCTTATCTGTTAGGTTTGGGTCTGATTTTATCTTTGTAAGTGTAGGGGTCTGCTTCCTCGGCCTCTTCCGGCCACTACTAAACCACTAAAAGGATCTGGGAGTTGCCTTACTTCCAAATTAGCCTCTTTTTTGTATTCAGAGCTGCCCCCTTTCTATTTACAAGCTGGTGATATCACCCCACCTTCGGTTCTTAAGTAGCGGTCAACTCTTTATTAAATGCTCTACTAAGCTATAGTTAGTAGCGCCGGCATAAAGAGTGTCAGCAGCTTCCAATTAAGTAAATCTGGCATTAAGTTTGACAATCATGAATGTCTGTTCATTCTGTATATATACATATATATATATAGTTTTATACTGTAATATATTTGTAATTTATAAGTATTTATGTGTGTGGGTGTAAAGATACAATTTTTCTCCAATTCAAAAATCACCTCTTGTAAAGATACAATTTTTTCTCCAAGTTATATATATATATATAAACACCCACACACACATACTATATGACCACATATATATGTATAATACATATGTAATACAATTAATTAATCATTTGCAAGGCACACGATTTGTTAACGGATATTTTGTACCGGTTCACTGCTGAAAAGCCCAAGCCCTAGTTTGCAACATTTTAAAATTTTATGGGATTTATATACCCAAACTAAAAGAGATGGATGTTATTTGCTCAAAAAGGAACCTTAGAGAGAGAATAATAATTTTTTTTTTTTTTTTTTTCTCATTATCCTTTCCATCTTTGCTTTGTTCTTATTCTGACATTCATCTTTATACATTGTCAAACTCAACAATCTGTAATGGAGGTGATAGTTCGGACGGATAGCTGGAAGTGAAAAGTGGATAAGAAGTATACGTGTAAATGCATTAAGTATGGTGTTCTGGAACATTAATTCAGTTTGTGGAGTGATGCTTAATTAAAATGGTCTGATTTTTTTGGCAATTTAAAACAAATTGAAAAGCTTACTGGTAAGGTACCAAAATACAACTATCTACCACACTATTCCGTGCCTTAATTGAGATACAATTTTTCCTCTTTTCATCTTTTTTATGGCATCTTCAACTTAAAACAACATTTTTTTTTTTTTAAATAAATAATTGCAATGCCTAATTTTATTAGAATATTTTAGTTCCCCGTTTCCTTATTCTTGGTCAAAATTTTTATTACCAAAGAAAAATTCTTTTTTCTAACTACTACTGCTTTATGGAGATGACACTAACATATGAAGAGTGGATTTCATCGATGAGCTAATTGTCACTACTGTATCGATATGGAGTGTTAATCTATGGGAGCCAATTGGAGTTGGCATCATAATACATTGTCAGTGTAATCGTGATTATTATGTTCATTCTGGAGTCATTGTGGGGGAATTGAGTGGCATCTAGATGAACTCATTGTGAAATCAAAGCATGCACAAAATTGTAATGTTAAATTTATTCAAGTCATGGGTGCAGCATTGATTGATTTATTTTTACTTAACAAAAAAAAAAAGAAGAAAAAAATTAACCATTTTAGCTTCTGTAGTAAGTGTGAACTAAACTGCAGAAACCATGATGTGGAATTGTTGAGTGCAATCAATTATTAGGACATAACTTGTAATGGTTGATGTTGAAGTGTTCAAACATTAATAAATTCAAGCACTAATATTGTAGTTTTTGGCAGAGGAAGCTGATTCTGGTTATACAGGGAAAGGTTTGCTCGATGATGTATATTTATATGTTGTACCTAGTTCATTGCATATTCTCAATTGCCTTATCTATGCATTATTGAAAAAGTAGTACAGTGTAGTGAAATTCACCATTTTTTTATCTGTATTGATTGCTTATTTATTCTAAATGAGAAAAGGTTACTGCAAGTAAATTTGTTTTATCCTGTACGATAATCCTTTGCTTCATTTTCTTTTTTGGGGATAAATTACTACGTAGCTGATTCTGCTTTGGCTCGAGTGGTATGTCTTCCACCTCTCCAAGGGAAGGTTGATGATTCAATCTCCAGGAGGGGCATGTGCGAGTAAATTTACTTATTGAAATAAAAAATAAAGTTGGCAATTGCAGACATTATCAACATGCCATCTAGCAGTTGATGATATTGTTGAGCACTTAGTGAAGGAAGTTGAATTGGTGTTGTGTGGTTCATTAATTGATATTAATGTTACTAGTTAGTTACCTTAGAATGTTCAGGAGACTACATCAAACCTCTTCATGAGAGTTGCAATTTTGTAAGAGGACACAAGAAAAACATATAGAACTATATATGTATGTGTGATATATATGTTTATGTGTATATAATGATTGATGAAAGTAGTCTTCAGTAAAGGATTATCCTTTAAAAAATCTTGAAGAATAACATCAGGAAGCCAACTGTGAGCATCAGCATTGGGGACTGAGTGCATTCTACAACAGCGCCACTCTTCGTGTCTGCAGAATTTTTCATGGATGTGCTCTCAGTGCCGTTACAACTAAGACCTTCCTTCCCTTCCTTGCAGAGATTGGCAAACAGGCCTGGCGGGTACTTCCCATAAAGATTTATGTAGCTGAACATGGTGGAAGCACAATCGTTCTTTCGGTCATTGATCTGGTCAGAAAAAGGGCAAGCGAATTGTTTGAAGGCCTCGCAGCAAAGTTTGGGTGAGTATTGGGGTCCTTTGCACTGGCTTGTGATGACTGTGTAGTTCTGATTCTCAAAGTTTACAGAGCAACCTGCCAAAATTTGAAGACAATATCATAGCAGGACTCTTTTAGAGCTAAGTAGCTAACTCAACCCTCTCTAATAGCTGCAATGAATTTTTAGCCACTTTTTAATATAATCTAATGAAGATGATATTATGCTCTCACCCCAATATATATATATACACGCACTAAAAATAAAGAAATTTAAATATCTGTTTTCTTGGTTTTTTTTCTTGAGCACTGATATTGCAATTGATAGATATGGAGAGTGAAATTTTGGTCTTGATTTCTTTGTTTTTGACATATAATGATAAAAAATAAAAAAGGTATGCTTTAAAATACTCGGTAGTATAAGAATATATCCTAAACTCAATTGTCCCAACATGTAATGAATTATGAAAACCTAGAAATCAAAAATATGCTGCAGAATTTCGAAAAATATTTTTGATTTTTGGACTTTCGAAGCTATGAATATTAGATGGATATTTATTAGGCTTTCAGAAACACTATTTAATCATCAAAAAACAATAATAATAAGTGAAATAGAAATCGAAGTCCCAGACATTGTTTTGTTTTCGAGGAAAAGGGTTCATCTCAAGGCAAAAATAAGATTTGTTGTAGCTCCCATTTAATGATCAAATGGACAGCAGCATTTTAGTTTGGTTATTTTCCTATGTTTTCTAGGGAACCAAACGGAGAGAGAGATTTGAACCTGCTTTGGCCTGAAGAAGTGTACGGCCCGTGGATCCATGAGACCCCAAGATTTCATCTGCACGTATATATAAATTCATCAAATCAAACGAAGTAACAAGTGGATTGATTCATACACCATGCGTATATATACATATATGAATATAAATTACATGAAATGGAGTTTGATGAGGCCAAGCCAGCCAGAAGGAAGAAGATGATCAAAGATAAACATGGATTGAACAACATTTTTTGTTCAAAGATGATCGACCGTCTTCGATCGACCGGTACGGGACCTTCTGACAGTTGGAAATTAAGAACCCTTTTTCTTTTATTATTCATTTATTAATTTACGGTTATATTGGTCATTAATAGTGCTTTAACTAATAACAAGAAGTTAGAGAGAGAAAATGCAGAGAGAGAGAAATAAGGGAGACACGGAGAAAGAGTTGCAGAAATTTACGGTGCGGCTATGGTTAGAAAGCGCCCTGTAAAGCTGTCAGCGTTAATACTTTACATAAGGGACAGAGTAAGAAATTTTGTTTGTATTCTAAATACATATAAATTATTATTTATGAAAATATATATGCACGAAGAGACATAGGCTATGTCTCTTCATAGGTGAGTATATAGAGAAATTGATATTTTAGAATGAGATAAATTAATAAATTACATATATATATATAATATAATGAAACAATTTAAGAAAAAATATTTAAGGAAACATATATAGTTTAGGAAAGAAGAAATTTCCACGGGACAATTTTGCACATTTTTAAAAAATATATAAATATTATAGGAATATATATATATATATATATATATATATATATATATATATATATCAAATAAGGAAAGAAAAAAAATTAGAGGGGCACGTGCCCGGTCCTATACTGGCTCAGTCCCTGTATACAAGTATATTTTACTCTGTATATGGTTGCATTTGTTGGTAGTATAAATAATTTTAACAATCTAGTTCCAAGCATACTCGTCATTTATAGATGATAAAAATATGGGTATACTCAATTCTTAAAATTTACATGTGATCATTTCAGATTTTATATAATATTTTCAAGGCACGAATTCACGGCAGTGCAAGGAAAAAATTGCATGGTGGTTTAATGCCGAAGAGTATGATATGTACGGTGTATCTAACGTAAAGTGAAATGATTTTTTATATATGATTAAAAAAGAAAATAAAAGTGATGTAAGGAAAATAAATTAGACGAACAAGTTTAAGATACAATAAGAAAATGATACATGAAATAGTTCCTGAAATTTAGGTTCTCCATGATCATAACTATATAAACAGCCTGATTGAGATTCGTAGTGTCTTCATTTTTTTTCATGAAAAGTTGAGCTGTTATAAGTGCACAGTTAGCCTGGTTTGGTTTGTATAATTTGCCTAATTTGGTGTGTGTAACAGGTTAGATGTTTGTGTTTTAATCCAAAAGCTTAAGTATTTGAGTATATATTCATTTCACTTTTTATCAGGAACCGTTATGGAACACCTCTACCATTTTTTTCTATCCGAAATTGTAAAACCCTCGTTGCGATTCCACTTTGCCTACTCGGGGTGACAGACCTGAACACCTCTAGGCTAGGAGCACTTGGTCAGACTTTAATATCAACTGTAATTAAGACTGCAAATGAACCGAACTGTTCATGAACAATTTAGGCTCTGCTTGGGCTCGTTCGTTTAGTAAAGGAGCCGAGCTTGAACATATTTTTGGAGTTCGTTTAATAAACGAGCCGAGCTTGAGCAATGCCAAGCTCGGCTAGTTAGGCTTGTGAGCACGCTTGCTTAGTGAAAGGCTTATTTATTTATTTTTTTAAAAAAAAATTTACCATTTTTTTACCCCATATAATATAAATTTAATACAAATTGCGTGTTCATAAGCCCAACTTAATTCTTCATTAAGCCCAAATTCTTTTAACTTATTTACCCTATCATCACATTTATATTATGTATGTATCAACCATTTATTACATTTGACTATTTGAGATAACATCCTATCCCACATCCAGCCGCAACAGATCTCGCCCAGTGACCTTCAGTTCCAACAAAGCGTCCTTCTTCCTCTCTTACTGGTTGGCTCACTAAACCCTTTCAATTCAGCAGAGCTCATCAGTGACGGTATCCACAGATTTCTGTGTCTCAAATCTCTTTTTTGGGTTTCTTTTCTCTTATGAGGTCTCAATTTCATTTAGTGTTAATGAGATCAGAGGAAGATGCCTAGTGAAAGAAATGCAGTGATGGATTCATGGATTCCATATTTGATTAGTTGAAAACAGATCTAAAGCTTTTCTTTAATTTTTTTTTTTTTTTTTAAGGCGAGCTCGACTCATTTGCAGCCCTATAATGGGTGTGCGCTTGATCTCGTAATCTCTCGTGATCTCAAAATTTAACCTATTTTTAATAGTTCAGCATATCCACTCAGTTATACCAATTTTCCTGACTTTATTTCAGGTGTATTGGACAATGACCCCAAAATCTTTAATTTCACAAAGGCCTTGGACAGCATAGCATCTATTGAGGGAAAAAAGGCCTTTGAAGCCCAAATTTAGTTGTATAAGAGGCCCACTATTAGTCCTATAACTTGTGGATTTAGGGAGGCAATTCTGCAGTCGTATCTGGGCCGACAAGACCGAGTTGAAAAAGCCATTGAAATATAGGCCCAATATTGCATAGCTGATTGACATTGGCCCATTTGTTTGTTTATGATATTTTGTCAAGGTAATGGAAATATGGGAAAAGAAGAAATGTTATTCTGTGAATGCGTGATGTGGAAATTGGGAGTTCAAACATCTGATTTGGTGGGGAACCCTCTGGTCCACAAATATTTATCACATGTTAGAACCCATTGGGGAATATGAGTTTGTTGCTGACGTGGATTGAAAAATAATTGCGTGGCAAAAGAGTCATTAAACTGAGTAGACAAATTGTGTTGGCTTCCTGTTCAAAATTTTCTCACCAGAAGTGGAGGTCGAGGTATACATGTGGAGCAGATTTGATTGCCATTCCTTTTGCTTGTGTGTTTGATGGTATTTATTGATATCATTTTGTAGAAAATAAGACATGCATTTGATAATGTTCTTTGCTTTTTGGTTGAACAATTAAAAGGGTTTGGTTTGGTTTGGGTTGAATATTTGCCCATTTGTCCGCTCACATTAAAGGTTAGTTCTTGATGTTAACACCCACCCACTCTAAGGACTCCAATAATGTCGTCTTCTTGTATGGAGGAAACTCACATTCTATTTGTCTTCTCTTTTTCTTTATGGGGATTGAATTCACGTTTAGAGGTAAAAAAACATACCACTAAATTATATTAACATTCAGGCACTTTAAATAGATGATTATATATCTGAATAACAATTAAACAATTCAATATTCACATATAAACTTAAACAATCTTTCAAAATAATTAGTATGAATGTTTAGGATAATAATTTCTGCTCTGCTAGGGTGGTTTGCCTTAGCTGCTCGCAAACATTATAATTAACTTCTTCTTCATCATTTTTTTTTTGCCTTAAAATTGAACATATATATATATATATATCAAGATATACTACTCTTCTTATCATTGTTGTTGGTCCATCAATTTCAAGTCTGAGATTCAAACTCAGACGTGCAACGCGTTAAGTGATATTATAACACAACCCACACCATGCTTATTATTGATAGCTTATTATTTTGCTGAAATCCCAATACGAGCGGATCAAATTGAAGAGATAATAAAAAGAGTCAACTAAAATTCAAAGTTGTAATTTGCTGGTGCATATTTTAAAAGGTGCTAACGAGCCTGTCCTCGAGCTCCTTTTACACACGCACTCAGACTAAAGTTTTTGGGTTTTTTATTATTGATGTTGGACAAACACAAATATTCCTACTAAAACTGTATATAAACTCATCTTTTTTCCTTTTTCTTTTTCCCAATAATTAATTTTTTCAGGACAGCTATAATTTGATTACTTTCAAAAGTGTCCTTGTCTACATTGCTTTTATTTATGATAAGCATTATCCAAATAGAAAGAGAAGTTCAAATCTTACACGAACTACCAAACCTATGGCCCATATTTCATTTCCTTTGCTCTGTTTTGAAAATCAAAATGAAAAAAAGTTGTAATGTCCTAAATCAATCATTATCGCTTTAGTTCTATTTTGAATCTAATAATTGTTATTAGATTGTTAAGAGTGGGTGAGCAGTGAGAGAAGCATTGACCTATACATGAATAAGTGGACTATTTGTGATCCATTTTAAAAACTGTGGCTTTTCGATTGGCAAATAGAATTTGATAATAAATGTGACGAATCTGAACGGGAAAGGAGTTAAAAATCTTATGAGCATCCAAAATTAAATATGTTAGTATTGCATTGAGATAGACAAACCCTCTGACTTTGGTAAGGCAAACATGTGAAATTATTAGGGAGTGAAAATTTTTCTGATATTTTGGAATATTTATTATTATTATT